TTTTTTCATGTTCGCCTTGATGCCCTTTATTCTGCCTTCATCTGCTGCGGCGTCTTTGAGCCCGTTTCAATCATTTTGCCGATTTACTTTATGTCACACCTCTAGTCGTTCCCGGAAAAAGATGAAAGCAAGAAGAGACAAAGAAGAGAAAGGTTGTATTATATTATGCCTCCCACCTGCATTATTCAGCCTTTCTGTCTTTTATTGTGCCAAAAGCAAACATTTAAGCTTCACTTTCTTAAAACATCAGTCACACTGCCAGCAGACTTGATATTTGATGAAACTGGTCTCGCTTCCTCCCGTAACTTGAAGACAGCTTTGCTTTAGATGGTTTGGAGGTGTTGAAAGGAATCTTTGATGTTGACTGATCAAAGTGAAGTCAAGTGAGGTGACTCGTTGTAATTGTTGCTGAAATAACATTTAATGAGTAATTGATTATAGTTTTCAACTGATCTGCCTGACACTGATCTTCAATTGGTCTTATGGGAGTAAAAATAAAAACACACTCTAGATATTATGGGCACACCTGAAGCTCAAAATTGCAGTCTCTTCTGTCAGGCGATGAAATCCAGATGTATTGGATGTTAAACAAATTGCATAGCTCAGAAGGATTCGAGTGTTTGCGGGTGACAGTGTGAGTCCGTGTGAGAGGGAGTGAAGACGAACAGCATGCCATTAATCTTTCACACACTGGATTGGGGAGGCAATCTGTTGGCTATCATAGATGATACATGACCAGCTATAGAATGATTCGCCTGTTGCATACCAACACTGTGAAACCGCACACACAGGCAGCATCTCTCACACAGACGCGAAAAGAATCAAAGAGACTGCTGTCAAAGATCAGCCGAGTGTACTGGCATGCACTCTGAGAACAGCTGAATTCATCCACACGTCCACATGAAAGCACATTTGTACACATGCCTGCTTGCACATATTGTCACACACGATTCCATCTAAATCAAGCGCCAGAGGGCAAACGTGTTCTCCAATAAGATGGTTTTCTATCAAGCTGCCTGAGATACAGAACCATTTTTAGTTCATTTTCAGAATAAAAGCAGTAACCTCGCCCCCAACATAGCATAAAAGAATGTGCCAAAGCGCATGTGCAGACTCAGTGAGCCGTTTAACTTTTACAGTGTTTCTGTCATTGTCACATCTGTATTAACAGCCCATTCAGCAAGAGGAAAACTGTGCATGGGAGTAGCTATAATTGTAAATCAGCCTTAAACACACTGAAAGGCTGCACAATCTGTGTCTCTTCCCAGTGTATTGTAATTAGTGTGAGAAGCTTTACTGTGAGGTTTAACGACTTTGCTTTATGTTACAGATTTGTAGGACTTCATTAAACGCTGAGCCTTATTTAAATGGGGAAACCCATCTTTCCCTGGCTCTTCACTGTATTGCCGGGTTTTATCATTTAACCCTCACGTCATACTTTAAAAAAAAGAAAATCCTCGCTAAGATCAAGTTTAGTCTGAATGTAAACAGAACAAAGGGAGATTGTTTGCAGCAGATGCTAGCCCAGTCTCAGCCCAGCAAATGACACGCCAAAGTTAAGGTATTAAAGTGAAAAAAAATTAGTAAATTAGACTCTACTATAATGTCAGATTAACTTTGCTGGCTGTCCTGCACTGTGGTCCAACATTCTGTTTCCCCCCTATGAAACCTTTAATCTAGAAATAAAATGAATCAGATGTGATCATTTTAGATTCATGAACACTGAGGATGATTTATTCAAAGAACCTCATGGGTTTAATGTAAATAAATTAATTAGAAAAATGATTGAATGCTCGAATTGAGCATTCTGCTGATAAAATAATGGACCTCGGAAATTCATCTGTCAACAACTACAGCTGGAAATGCTGCTTGGCGTTGATGGATGCAGTGTTTAGTTTAAGATGACAATTCTAATGCAAAAAGAAGAAGAAATATGTCCTCGTCGTACCTTATTCGTCTCTCATCTAATGACACATGCATTTTAGGTCCTAGTACATGTTCATACTGTAGTACTGTTTAGACCAGGGGTGGGCAACTCCAGGCCTCGAGGGCCGGTGTCCCTGCAGGTTTTAGATGTGTCCTTGATCCAACACAGCTGATTTAAATGGCTAAATTAGCTCCTCAACATGTCCTGAAGTTCTCCAGAGGCCTGGTAACGAACGAATCATTTGATTCGGGTGTGTTGACCCAAGGTGAGATTTAAAACCTGCAGGACACCGGCCCTCGAGGCCTGGAATTGCCCACCCCTGGTTTAGACTGTGGTTTTAGATCACTGTTAGGTGATTGCTAGATCACATGATGATGCCATAACATGTGATATTGATAAGAACCTTCAGTGGGCTGTGATGAACCAGTGTGCCCGATTGTCTTGATTCCTCAACTCCTGATCGTGTAGGAGGAGTTGGTGGACAAAAAAAGAGATTTTGTTCGCTACAGTAAGATTGCATGTTATTAGGAATGCTACTAACATCTGCTTTAAAAAAAAGGAAGAGTGCTTGCTTACATGCTGGTCTAGTGCCTCTACAGGTCAGAAGCAGCAAGAGAAATTACACTTCCAGAAAACAAGTCAGTTTAACTGGTATAAAGAGTCCATTTTCAGTGAAGGAGGTAGTGATTTCGACACATATCAAACAGACGATTTTCAGTTTGTATCCTATGTTTGGCAATTACTATTTTACTTCTTCTCTCTTGCATCTGTGGCTGTTTGCACTACTTTAGGGCAAGAACGTGGTTTAGGTTATAGTAAATCTGAAAATTGTAGTTATATTTTAGCTTAAAATTTCTATTAAAGAGCCTGCATATACGTTGCAAAAATGATTTTCGTTATTATCAACAGTGTTAATTTATGAAAGCTGTAGGCCGGAGCCTTTAATTTGATGTAATAAATTTGAGGAACCCGTATATTTTATGTTAGAGATGTGTTTTGCTGCAGTGTATTGTCATTCAGTATCTGCTCATACCAGCACCTGCGGTTGCCCCAAGAGGAGCTGTCAAATGAATTAATAAATGCTCCTTAAAAATACATTAGAGCGTATATTGGTTATTAAAAGTTTATGTAATGCTTATGAATACAAGATATGCAGAACTGCAGTAAAGTTTTACGCCACTTCTCTTGTCACTGGTCCTGCCTGAAGCACTAGCCAAGGAAATAAGCAGTGCACTCTGCCAAATGCCACTCAGTGATTATAATGGGTCAGTTACAGAGGACAAAATTTCCCCAGTGATCAATAAGGTGCAACTTAAACTTCAACAGATTCCTTACACGGTCATTTTTTCTTTTATACCACTTTCTTTTTCCACTCATCCAGAGTCACTCCACAAGGTTGAATTAATAAGGTATTGTTCACCAGCTAACCAGTCAGATCACCTCTTTCCTTTTTTGCCACTAACAGAAATCCTGTGAAATCTATGAAACTTCTGAACATGCCATCTTCTTCATCCTCCTAATCTCTGTCACCGGCGTATTTCCTTTTCTGGGCTCAAAGACAAACATTACATCAAAGTGTCACATGGTTAAAAAAACAGAAAGTTTCTGTTGTATCCTAATAAGTATAAAAATATATCTAACAACAGTTTCGTCTGAGAATCCATCACGGTGTATGCCAGGTTCATTATTTCAAGCAAACAGATCAAGGCCTCAAGGACAAACACTATCAAGTCTGTGTGTGTTTGCGTGTGTGTGGATTAAGAGGTGCGATGGATTTTGAAGAGCAGCATAATGCAGAGTTGCTCCAAAAGGTGACAATTTATGCCGAGTCAGGCGTCAATGCATCTCTCCACTTTCTCGCTCCTCGTTTTCTCTTCCGCTCACACTTCTTACAAATAAACCCGACTAAAAATAATTTGTCTGCCGCCGCTCTCACATCAGAGTGTTGGTATCACCAGGCTGTCCGGTAAATATCGGAACACATTGTCTGATTGTATGCAAGAGGATCTGATTATCGCCCGAGGTTTAAGTGGCTGTAATCAGTGTTTTTATGATAACAACGGATCAAATGATTATTTGTAATGTGGTAGGAGTTGTTCACAGATCATTTTCACCTGAATCAGGAGTTCATCATAGCACCTTTCAGTTGTTTTATTTCTTTTTGGTGTAATTTTACCTAAAAAATAATAATATTAAAGTGCTTCTTAAAAGCAAAAGCGATGAATTAGAATTGATGATTTGCTTTCATGCTCAAGTTATTTATCAGGTTTATCATTTTCTGCATTTTTTCTTTCTTTCTGAATGTCTTGTAGTGTATGCCCAGTAATATTTTCACTTTGTTTCTCACTCCTCTGAAGTGAAGTTGTTTTTTTGATTTTTTTTTCTGTATTATTATTTTCCTTGTTGCTGTTTCTGCCCATTAGAATTTCAAGGTCTTTTACTGACTGCGGTACTTAAAAGGAAACATCGTGTGGCCTTCATGTATTTTTCTCTGACTTTCTCTAATAGGTTCACTCTCACTTGCTTTCCTTCCTTTTACTCAGTGAAAACAAGTTCATGCAAAAAAAAAAAAATGAATTGCCACTTACTTTGATGCTCCTGCTCACAATTGGGAGATAAACAGCGTAAGCATGGAGAAAAGGAAAAGAAGGAAAGAGGATGAGAGAGATGCTGGCTTGCCCCGATTGCTATCTGTTTCATGTAGCCTCGGTTGCTGTTAGTGCTGAATTGGTTTTCAGGTTGAAAGACAATTACTTTGGTGGTACTGTCAGTTTTGTCATGCACACAGAACGCTTTGTGAAGCTACAGTTTTCTGTGTTGCATATCTCTGCAACGGTAATTGTGTTTCTTTCTCTCTCTCGTTTTTTAATCCCTTCACTGTCGTCTTTACCTTAACCATCTCCGTTTCATCCATCTGCTGATTTCTCGTCTGTGTTTGCTTTCTTTCATCTCCCTAATCTTGCCATCTTGGCCACTTTGTAAAAAAAATTGACTTTATCTTTCCCTTTCTTACACCTCACTCTTCTTTCTCTGTTTTTTCTCCCTACCTCACTCCCCACTCTCTTCTCTGCAGGTCTCTATCTGGACGTATTGTTGGAGGTGTGTGGTGGTTCTTTACTCTTATCATCATCTCCTCTTACACAGCCAACTTGGCTGCATTCCTCACTGTGGAGAGGATGGTTTCACCGATAGAGAGTGCAGAGGACTTGGCCAAACAGACAGAGATAGCCTATGGGACGCTGGACTCAGGCTCCACTAAAGAATTCTTCAGGGTATGAACTCAACGCACACTGTTCATTTTATTTGATTGCTTGAGTCTTTTCAGGTTAATGGAAATATGCAATCAGCCAATCACATGGCAACATTTCAGTGCATTTAGATATGTAGAGATGGTCAGGACAGGCTCCTGAAGTCCACACAGGCCATCATAATGCGTGGAAAAGGTGATTTAAGTGATTTTAAATGTGTCATTGCTGTTTGTACCAGACAAGCTGTGCAGTGCACAACATATCCAGACTTGAAGCTACTGCAACATAAGGCTGTTCCTGTCAGCTAAGAACAGGAGGAACTGAGGCTACAATTCACATGGACTCACCAAATAGGACAATAGAGATTGAAAAATGGTCTGATCCATCATGGAATCAACAGTGGTGGTGGTGTAATAGTGAGGGAGATATTTTTTCAGATCATCTCAAACTGGTTTCTTGAAAATAACCTCCACAATCATCAGATCTAAATCTAACACCTGTGGGATTGATTGGTGTGCACCCAACAAAGCAGCAACTGTGTGATGCTATCACGTCAGTATAGATCAAAGTTTTCAGCACTTTGTTGAATCGATGCCACGAAGAATTAAAGCATTTTTGAAGGCAAAAGAGGGTCCAACCTGGTATTAGTAAGGTATAGCTAATAAACTGACAACTGAGTGCAGATTCAAATTTACAGAGATGACTATTTAAAATATTATATTGTTCAGAAAATACTTTAGTGGCAGAATTTTAATCACTTGTATGCTAGTAGGGAATAATGAGTGTGCCTCGGTTACCTAGGCTAATTCAAGCAGCACATACTTGAAAACCAATCTACAACATTCTAGAAAATCGAAATTAAAGGATCTTTCGTGTACTGATCTCGACTTGAGAGAGACTTGAAACGTGATGGTAAGCTGAGATGACTTTCTGTTTCCAGTTAGTTTGCGTGTAAAACCTGATCAAAGCCCACAGTAAGATTTAAAAAGATTACACCGGACATGAGAAAACAAAAGATCTGTGCTGGATTTTCTCAAACGCAATGTTGATTACAGTGAAAATATGTTTTTTTTTTACCACAGTCCTTAGCAGTTAATCAAAATAAAGGAATAAAACCATAATGATTATAAAAGTAGGCAGTAAGGTAAGTAAAGTCAAGGATAACCGGTGGGATAGAATATGCTGCTATGAAAAGAAAGTGGAAAGAGTAGCAGAGTGGGGTAAAGAAGCCCCAATTACACCTTCACCCTTTGACCTCTTCACCTATGTGGCTTCCAGTCAGTGCTAATAGTTGACACACATGAACATGCACACAATCCTATTTTTTTTTCTTTCCCTTTTGCTTCACACAATTATTAAGATTTGTTTTTGTTCCTGTGCATGTTATGTGTATATAAACAGTTCTGCTCTGTAGGAATGTGTGCACTGGTATTTGTGTCTGGAGACAAAGGAGGAAAGGGGGGAGAATGTAGCAGGCAGTTTGTGCTTCTGTTAGTCGCTCTGGCATCATCAACATAACGAGCAGGCTGAAATCTGTGGAGGGTGAAAAAGCAATTTACTCTCCCACAGCTGAGGGGGATTCGCCACCACCATTAATTATCTTGTGTGTGCATGCAAGTGTGTTTGTGTGACCGTGGATGTGTACATACAATATCGTGTGCACATAAAGCAACATATGCATGTGTCTTATATGTGTAAGCAAGTTTGAGTGGCGTTTTGTAACGTGCAGAAACACGGTACGTGCGTCCATGTAAGTTTAAAAGCGTTTCCATATTGTGCATGCCTGAAGGTGACTTGCAGCATCCATTTTCCTCTTTCACAGCTACGCTCATTGTTAAAGAATCTGGAAAGAGTCACACCTTATTGTCACACATCCATCCCTCCAAGGCTAGACGGCGCTTTGTACACGCACGTTTATTATCGGCGTCTCTCGGTCTCACTTTCTTTGATAGGTGGGGGCTTGGATAGATGGGCTGGAGGTGTACAGGAAGGGGGGGGGGTGAGAAACTGTGATAGACTTTGGCAGACAGAGGAAGAAATGGAAGGAGAAAAATGAAGAGAAAGAGAGGGTTGAATGAAGAGAGGCGGAGCCTTTTGATGTGTGTGACATTATTATGGGATAGGTGTCCGTCACGCACTAGCAGCACACTGATACACACACATATCATTCCCCGGGTGCTGGTTTCAGTGGCTGAGGCCCTGGCTTGTTGCTCGAAGAGCGACAGAATAACACTTTATCACCAGGAGTGAAAGAGAAGAAAGAAGCAGTGCGCTGGTGGAGGATGACAGTTTGACTCCTCTGCTTGTTATTTTCACTCTTGAGTACACGCAGTTCACACACACAAGCAAACAAATCATTTCACATATATACACACAGACCGATGTGCAGAATTACAAGACCACAGACATATGTAGGATGTATACAGTACACATTATAAAAAAATATAATAGAGTTTATTTACAATACTGTGCAGACGTCTTAAGCCACCTTTCATTTCTTTGTATTTTGCTAAGAAACTGGTGAATTTATTTACTGAAATATGTGCAACAGAGTTTGTACAATTATAATAAGCTCAAAAGCCAATATCTGGTATGACCACACAAGACGATCCCACACCGCTTCATGGATGTTGAGGTCCAGGCTCTGGGGAGACCAATCCATGACCGATATCCAGGTGTGCTTTTACTGCATTGACAGTGTGTTTGGGATCATTGTGATGTCAATCAGACGCTTTCCAGCTAGTACAGCACGGTGGATCAAGATCTGAAAATACTTCAATGCATTCATAATTCCATCAGTTCTGACAAGATCCCCAGCACCACTGTCTGAAATGTTTTACAGATGGCTGTAGACACTCACTGTTGTAGCTCTCGCCTGACCTCCTCTGTCTTCAAATTGATTGAACCCAAAAATTTCAATTTGGATTCACCACCCCATATGACCTGTCGCAACTGATATTCAGTCTTTTTTCAGTGATGTGACATACCCCTGCTTTTTGTCCCTGGTTTGTCTTGTAGATTTTTAGGCCTGCCACTTCTGTCTCTGTCATTTCCATTATGTGTCTTTAAGGAAACACTGTATAACATGTGGAGATGTGCTAGATTTTTGGCTCTTTGGGTATCACCATATTGGTACAAAAGCACAGTTTATATGCTTGAAAAACTGAGTTATTTTGGAATTTTTCATAGATTCAAGTTTCAAGTAAAGAAATTGCAAATAATTATCATTTTTTTAATAGGCTAAGCTAATAGTAACAAAGTGCCTAAAGATACATTTTGTTATATTTGTAGCTACAACACTGGTTCACCCATTAGGTTCGGCATATTCTGTATGCTTGAATGATTCAACCACAGTAAGTGGTTTTAAAAAACACAACATTCCTCTGAAAATAGCCAGGTACAAAGAGTGGACTGAAAATGAGTGAAAAAGCAGCCAAAGTCCAAAAACGTCTGGTTTGTTCAAGGCAAAATATAAAGAAATAAGTGGTGGCTGAAGACTTTTGTACTGTACTCAGTCCTAAATTCATAACCACACACCAGCTTAGTGTACAAGTATTCCAGTAAAAAGTAAGACTGATGCTTGACTTGTTAGCATCTACGTCATAATTTAAATGTGGTTATACAGTAAATGTGATTATACACCAGGAGATAAACATTGAAGACACAGCACACCATCAACAGCATCATTTTACTCAGGGACTAAAAGAGGAAAAGTCAGCTTCACATCATATGAAGCTGTAGCAACAAATCAAATCCAGTGGAAACATGGATTGTTAACATGGATTAACAGCTTCCTTTTTGCATCAGTAAAGTCAGCACTAAGGTCAGCATGTCGATTTGAATAATTAATTAGATAGTGTCCGCACACTGTTCAAAGTAATATTTATAAAAGAAAAAGACTGGCAGGCATTGTTCTATTTTTCTTGTAGCTGAAAACCAATTAATTTCTACTCATTCCTTAAGCATAAATCCATTTGAAATAGGTCACAAAAATGGAATTTTGTTTTCATTTTTGTTAACCTTCCCAAATCAAGTTTAAGAGCAATGTGTTTGGCAAGTTTGAGTGTTTAATGTTTAATATCTTTTGGAGAACATCAATAACTTAGCAACAAACAGGCAGTATTTGTTAGTGGGACTCATTTATTTTTATTAAACGGCTGAAATATATACAGTGAACATCTACAACGTAGCTTCCTTGACAGCTGGCTTCCACATCATTTTAGGGAAAATTTGCTCCTATAACTGTGAATTTATACCCATTAATTCCCTGTTAACCTTTTCCTTTCTCCCCTTTGCTCCTCTTCCATGCTAGAGATCCAAAATAGCTGTATACGAGAAGATGTGGTCATATATGAAATCCGCTGAGCCAACTGTCTTCACCAAAACCACAGCAGAAGGCGTGGCAAGGGTCCGAAAGTCCAAGGGGAAGTACGCCTTCCTTCTCGAGTCCACCATGAATGAATACACGGAGCAGCGAAAGCCTTGTGATACCATGAAAGTCGGAGGCAACCTGGACTCCAAAGGATACGGCATTGCAACACCGAAAGGCTCACAGTTAAGGTGGGTGGAATAGTGTAACAATAGGAAACAGTAACGACGCTGATACTGGACTATTGCTGCGATATTCCACCTACCCTGCTGTGCCTTTAATACTTGACCTAAATCAACCTCTCACTGCTGTCTGGTGAAAATTTCTCAACCAAAGAATTGTAAAAATTGACCGAAGTGGATATTGATTGATTCTCGCAAGCGTAAAGTCCCAAATTAACAGTAAATGTTATTGATTTAACACAGTTTATGGATTTATGGCAGTTATATGTTTTTACCGAGCAGCAGTGACTTCGATAAATGTGTTAAACGTGCAAATCATTTGTTTAGTCATGGTTTCTTTTGTTAATACCTTAATTTCTTTCCCCCCCCCACTTTCTGCCTTCCTTTTTGTATTGTTTGTAATTCTGTTCGACTCTTTGCTCTCACTTCTGCCATCTGTTAAATCAAAGCATGTCACCTCCACCGTCTTTGTCCTGTGTCGCTGTCATCCATACGTCGCTTTGTGCTTGTGTCCTTCCTTTCTTTTTTGTTGCTATTTTCAACCACCTTTTCTCCACAGGGCCACCTTCCAGGTAACTCTGTTCATTTGTCTGCTATCATCTCACTCTTGATATGATGATACTGATGATGACGATGATTAAAAGAGAGATTTATTACCAGAGAATGACCACGAGGAGAGGCAGAACCACAGACTGCTGCCACTCCATCCAGAGCCACGGGGGGAATTTATAGACAACCAGGAAAAGAAAAAAAGTGAGGAACAGGAAGCAGAGGGGCCTGTCCAATGGGGGGAATTCAAAGTAAATATAATACAGGAAAAATACAGATCCACAAACAAAAGAAAGACACAGTTTCAATCTTTAAACCAGTTAAATTAATAGATAATTGAACAATCTCAAATTAAAGCCCAACAAACAGAAAAATTAGTAGTAGTTTTTTAAAAGGAAAAAGTGCATCAACATGAAATAGAAACCAAAAGATGGAGGAAACAAATGACAAAGTGAAGTTGGTCATTTTATCTTGTTTTTCCCTCAGTAGACATTTGTTTCTCTGGCTTGTTAACTTGAGCTTACAGTAACAGTCTCAATAGGTTTCACTGCGATATCCTCAGCAATGCAGATAATTCATTTTCCAGGTGACTGTGACAGCAGTAAAGAAACTTTGTCTTCTCAATGTGACAAGTGCCTGCTGAGAGAAAAAAATAATTGACTAAATTCAGCAAAGCTGGACCACTTGCTCACTCCTCTCTCCTCCATCTATCTCTGTCAGCATTTCAGATTTGCCACATAAAAGGCAAAGCACAAACAGCACATCAGCCTCACACCATGTCCTATAACTTTCCCCTGTGCATGGTGCAAAGTTCCTCAAGACCCCTGTCGCCCTGTAGTTTAGCTCTTATTTTCTTAAACGAGAAAAAAAAAGGTTTTCCCGTTTATGAGGGAAAATTGTGACAGACAGCAAGTGGATAGGTTCCTTTGGAAGCTCCCCCGTAACACATACCTGGGACTATCCACGGTTGTCTCTGGCTGCTCTCAGTCTGCAGAAACAGACTTGCACAAGGCTGCGAGTGCGCACGCTGGGTGAGCCTGCCTCTCCTCCTGGTGCAGTAATCATTTGATGATGATGATGATGATGATGATGATGATGATGATGATGATGATGATGATGATGAAGAGCATGAATACTCTGATGACTGAGCTGAACATTAATAGTATTGTTTACTTTCTGCTATATGACTCCTTTTGATGTGACTTTTAATATGTGACTGTCATTATCATGCTTTACAGATCTTTTTGAACTGTTTTCATCCATTCCTCTTATGTTGATGAGATTAGTCATGGCCGGCAGATTAGATCACCCCAGAGAACGCTGTCTCTTCTCGAATCTCTCGAATATTGTTTCTAAGCTCTTAACACCAGTGTACCATCAGACCGTCAGAGATGAGATAGTGCTTCCAGATAGGCAAGTGCACAGACAAAGGGCCAGACAAATAAACAAGTAGGCAGCGACTGCTGTGACCTTTGTGCAGAGATTAGTATGGCCGATCAGCATCGCACAAACAAAAGCAGAGCACAGTCGCACAAGAAGAGGATGACAGGAAAGAGTTCATGGGCAGCTGTAAAAATCAAAGATGTGGCAGAGAAAGCAGAAAATGACACAGTCATACCATAACTCTTGGCCCTTGTAAACATGAAGCATGATTTTTCAAATAATGTTGCCGCGCAGCAAGAAGGTCCTGAGTTCAATTCCACCAACACGCGGGGTCTTTCTGTGTGGAGTTTGCATGTTTTCCCCGTGTTTGCGTGGGTTCACTCTGGGTACTCCGGCTTCCTCCCACAGTCCAAAGACATGCAGTTTGTGGCGATAGGTTAATTGATTAATCCAAATTGCCCATAGGTGTGAATGTGGGTGCGAATGGTTGTCTGTCTCTGTGTAGCCCTGAGACAGACTGGCGACCTGTCCAGGGTGTGCCCCGCCTCTCGCCCTATGACAGCTGGGATAGGCTCCAGGATAAGTGGAAGTAAATGGATGGATGGATGTTTGCTATAAATCCAGGATGTCAAACTGATTTTACATTATGGGGCACATACGTCTCGCTTTCATCATAAACAGTCCAAACTCCCTTTTCTGTCAGTGTAAAGATGTTTAACTACACATTTAATCCCATTTAAAATAAGAAAAAGAAGTTTAATTTCAATTTGATGTCTCAGTTGTTCTACATGATAAAAAAAATTGCTGCTGTAGTAAATAAAAGAAATCTGTTAGCATAAATAAATAAATGTGTAAAATTACAGAAAAACGTTCATGTGGCTCGCTACACGGACTCTACTGCAGTTACAATTACTGGAGAGTAATTCATAATTAATAAATCATCATTAAGAAATATTTCTAATATAGAAATGTCTTTGTATTGTTACTTTGGCGTAGTATGGCCATTGGGGGGGCAGAATCTGGCCCTTATGTTTGACACCCCTGCTAAAAACTGTGTATTGATGAAGTAAATTGCCATTCAAACAGATTCAATTAATTTTTGTTCTTTTTTGCATGGAAAATTTACATGTAATTAAATTACTTAAACATAAACATTTTAGACACTCGAGGCCACACACTGCATGCACATCTACAAAGAAGTATTGGCAAGTAATGATTTTGTATTTCATTAAAATCATGCTAGGTATACAGACAAACATACACTGTACGGATGCCAAATAGTTATCCCTGTGTCCCTGAATTTTGTTTAGAGGTCAGTCCCTTTAACAGAGTAAGCAGGGCCTTAGGAAACTGAGGCCACACAAACACAATGTGCACACACAGAGCAATAGGACGACAGGGGGGCAGCAGGAGGGGGCAAGTGCCTCATCAGTACACTACAGAGACCTGGTTAACACACTATATACCAGTAATCTGACACTCACTGTGGTAGCATCTGATGTTAGTGCAGCCAGATACAGAAGAGTAACGCAAGAGGGGTTTTTTTGTGAAACCACAAAACAAATTTGGAAAAAATTCCAGAAGTAAGTCAAGGAGTGATAGTAAGGGAGAGCGTTGTCCGGGGTGCGGTTTTCCCCCTCTAACTCACCTGTATGTGTGAATTCAGCCCATCCTAATTTCTGCTCCCTCTCGTCCTCCTTTTCCCTTTCCTTCTCCTGACTACGGTCCCCCGTCCATCTTGTCTGTTTGTCCCTCCATCCTCTGCTCTGACCAAACTATCTTATCTGTTCCTCCTTTTTTACTTAAAGAAACGCGGTCAACCTGGCCGTGCTAAAACTCAACGAGCAGGGCCTGTTGGACAAATTGAAAAACAAGTGGTGGTATGACAAAGGAGAATGTGGCAGCGGGGGAGGGGATTCCAAGGTTAGCCCTCTCTGTCTGCCCCCCCCCCACCTCCAGGTGACAGGGGCTGCTCACCAGCTGAGTGGCTCGCGACAGCCCCCGTCCTGGGAGTGTAACACATGCATCTGCCCTGGCAAAGAGTCACGCAGCGTACAGGGAGGATAGAAGAGATAGCTTAAATCTCTTGAGACAACCTGCAGTTGCAAAAATAGGCACATGGTTGCACTGATGTCCACGGTCTGTGACTTTATATATAAGTTCAGACACAATGACAAATGCACTTTGAAGCTTGTTGATACACATACAATGAAAACCCCTGAAATAACTTATTTTTAAATGAATCAGCTGGCTGGACCTGGTAGAGACCCAGAACCCGATTGCTGGAAAATGTAAATATATCCTACTTTCATTTTGAATCATCAGGGGGGGAAATGCTCATTTTCTTTATAATGCATGGAAAAATATCCCTATTCTGAGTAGCTGCCAAAATAAATCAAGCACATCTCATGAAGATAACCATTTTAAAGGTGCTTTGCACTGAACTGGTAACGTCCCTCTGACAGGACAGAGTGCAAAGTAATGGAAAGAGGTTTCCCTGATGGATAGCTGGAATAATAAAGAGAGCAATTACTGTCAAGACAGGAATATTTGCCCCCTAGTGGCAGCTCTGGGAAGAGTAGAGAGAAAACAAACAGTCTAGTTAGAGTCAAATGCAGACACCCCCTGAGAGGCTCAGTTTGACTAAAGGCAGGTGGAGAGATGAATAATTAATAAAACCAAAAAAAACCAATCACAGGATATGTGTGATTTCAGCAATTTGGAACATTTTTCAGCAAAAAAAGTTCTATAGTGTGATAAAGAGTCAAATATTTTAATTTCTAAAAGTATTCAGCTAGATCTTTAACAAAAGTTTCATTCCTTTAGTCAGTTTGAAAACTGAGAAATTTTAAATGCAGTCTATCAAGTTCATTTGAACAGGAATAAATTCTACATGCTTGTTAGTGGCTGTAATTAGATACAGGCTTTGAGCTAAATGCATGCTAATTAGTTGTTATTTGTCATGTAATTAATATTAATTATTGTTAGTATGCACAACTATATAAACTATTATTGAAACCATCATTAGCAGTGTATATATTTAGATTTTGTCACAAATCAAAACACTGAATAAATAAAACTTTGACTCTGTGATGAATTATTTCAATTCATCTTTAGGAACACAAGAATTTCATTGCCTAGTTTCATCCAAATATCATAGCAGTCCATCGATTTTAGTCACAGCCCAAAGTGGTGGACTGGCAGTAGTCTTCCTGTTAGTGTATTTCGATGATGACTGATTGTTGATGACTGCCAACGGATTAACCCTTTGATGCTCACCCCAAATTTCACAACTAATGGGGTCAAAACAGTCAACCAACCAACAGACAGAACTACCAATTTGTTTTCTCTGATGATATGCATTAGGGAGAGTTTAAAGAAAAGATCATTTCTGCTTCGACGCATGCAAAGTAAGTTTGCGAACTTCTCACTCTCCCAGTTGTGACACAGAGCTAGCCTGATGCCAATAGTCCCGGTTTAATAGTAATTGCCTCTGGATTGTTGTAGGTTGAGCTGGGGCAGCATGGGTGTGTTACCTGAAGTGACAAAGGTGGGTCCCACTCATATGTCTGTAGCTCGCCTTAGCTCCTCGCTCCCCCCAGCCCCTCCTCAACGAGCATACACACATGTATTCAGTGGGATCCATGCTAGGTCACTCAATCTAAGCAAAAGTTTTTCTTTGTTACTGAGATGTGCAATGTAAATGAGAAATACTCTAATAACATAAAATAACATGACCTATGATGTTATTTATGTTATTTTTACACGCGAAGAACCCCGGTAAACCTTGCAGTTTTGAAACTGAGCGAAGCAGGCGTCTTAGACAAACTGAAAAACAAATGGTGGTATGACAAGGGAGAGTGTGGACCCAAGGACTCTGGAAGTAAGGTCAGTCTCACGCTGCTGTGGCCCGCAGAACGCTAGCCTGAAACTCTCATCATGAATACTACTGCAACTACTGTCTTAGAAATAGCATTTTAAGCACTTTAGATATTTCTTGAATGTGCTCCACATTAAAATTAAAAGAGTCTTTTTGGATGGTGGACCACATTTACCTCATTTTAAATACAAATGAAGACAACAGTCTTCTTCAGTCTCTGTAGCAATCTGAGGCAATTCCATCTTCACATCAGTTATGTTGAAATATATTAAAATATGTAAAATCAACAATCTTCACTTCCATGTTTCTATTTTAATCTCATATGCTAGTCCATTCCACATGAGAATGGCACTGATCCTTATGCATCAGCAATATTAACTTGTTGCAATTACTGTCTCCATTTTATATTTGAGATTTAATCAGGGACCAGCTCCCTTGTTTTCTATTAATTTAAGAATGTTTCCATAATGTCTAAATTGTTATTATTTCCTCAAAACTTTTGTTGAAAGAAGTCAGTCAAAATAAAATGCAATGATCAGCTGCTACACTCATTTGACTGGTTAAATTGACATGCTGTAAAATCAGTTCTGGAGTGTGGACAGGAGCCCAGCTACACAAATATATATACATTTTTAATAAGGTAAAAACAGAATGTTGCATTTATCATTAATAGAGTTTATATCACTAATAAATAATATAATGAGCTATAAGCTAAGCTAAAAACGAAACACAACAAAATTATGTTTCTATATCTATAATTACGCTTTAGTATTTGTATAAATGGATCTAAATTGCCAATGAATTACAATTACAAAGCAACTGGGAAATAACCAGGGAGTTCATACTGCATACCTCCCCTGTTAAAAACATCAATCAAAATTATATTCAAATTTTTTCAAAGTTAAACCTAAAAATTGTTGCTAAACAGTTTTGGGGGTTTTTTGCCCTGCTATAAATATTTGACATGGGAGTTGCTTTAAATTTTAACTAAAGTACTGGAGCTTTTCCAAAAAATAGAGCAAAGTAAAATCCCCGCTCAGATTAAAATCTTGCTCTACAAATAATTCACTCTTGCTGCTCTATTTTGCACACTGTAACATTTCTAGAACTGTTGAATGTTTTGTAGCTGTAGTGATAGATTTGTAGTATACAGTATTTGTGGAGTAGCAGATGTGGTGGCAGTAGAGATTAAAGTTTTATATGAGTAGTATGTCAGTTTATATAAGTAGAATGTATTACTGTGATCATTTATGATAATACCATAACTTCAGTACCTGTAACTATATTAATTTATCTGGTATATTCTCCATTTCTCTGTGTCTAACTTACTGTATCTGCTTTTCTTTGTCTGCTTTTTCCCTCATTTTCCCTTTCCCTCTGATCATTCCCTATTCTGTCTCCACCTTCCTCATTGCACCACTCTCCTTTTACTGCTCTCACCTTGAGCCTACTCAACGTCTCACCTCACTTTTCCTCTTCTTCTCTACTCTTCCTTCCTGTCTACCCACCACTTCTCCTCTACCTGTCCTACTACTACTACCCTTTCATCTTTTAAACACATGTTCCTTGAATCCTCCCTCCCTCCCATCTCTTCAGGACAAGTCGTCCCAGGCTCTGAGCCTGTCCAACGTGGCTGGGGTCTTCTACATCCTTGTGGGCGGCCTGGGCCTGGCAATGCTGGTGGCCCTGGTCGAGTTCTGCTACAAGTCACGGGCCGAAGCCAAGCGCATGAAGGTGGACCTTAGCCCCCCCCACTGCCCCAGCCCCTCCCCCAGCACCCAGAATCTAGCCACTTATAGGGAGGGGTACAACGTGTACGGCTCCGAGGGGGTCAAGATATAGGGGTAGGATTTAGAGGCTCCCGTATAGGTGGGGTAATGGTGGTGTTGAACATGGTGGTGGTGCTGTAGATTTTGTACCGACGAGGCTGTCGCAGCAGCCCCACGCAACCGTGTTGTTCTTCATGTGGTGATGAGTATGTGGTCAAGCATTGTGGAACCAATGTACTTTTTAATTAGTTTTTTTATGTTTCCTGCTTAATTTTGGCTGTTTTGGTTATTTATTTATTTATTTATTTATTGGCAGAATATTTTCTTAGACTTTTGGGTTTAAATTTGGTTTGCGTTTTGTCACGGTTACGTCACCCTGGGCTAGACTGGGGTTAGATTTATGTGACCGCAGATTTGGTTCCATCGTCTTTGGCTGCAGATGATCATGATGGTGATGATGATGATGACAGTGGTGGTGATGCTCTTGGTTAATGACTAGGCACCTGCATTGTAATTTTCAGATAACATATTGAAGCCGCGATGCACAACTCCAGCATTAAATACATTTTGATTTTTTAGAATCTTTTTATTTTGAATGAATAAATTAATGACTATATTATTTATTAATTATTTATATATTAATTACCGTAATTAATGGTGTTGGTTTATTATCTTATTTCACATGTGACATCTTGAGTCCCTTCTTTAAAAGTTTCAAGTTTATTAATGCTAAAAACGTCTTCGTTATCCTCATCTGCTGATGTGTTTTCTTGGTTAAACTTTCACAAGGTTTTAGGGATTATCTATTTTCATTTTTTCACCATCCTGAGAGCAAAAGTTTGTTAATTTGGTAGCCCTCATTAAAATCTGTGACTGCTTCCAGCTACAAATTAATTAGCTAGTGTGCGGACACCAATTACCGTGGATTTGGGTCTGACTTAAAATATTTTTACCCAAAATGTGACAGACATCTTATGATGAAAAGCATTATTAAGATATTTATATAACTGTAGATGTCCGTTCTTTCAGCATAACTAGACATCTCATTACTCCCTCTAGCACCACTGCAATACCAGACAAATGGGTAGAGTGGGTTGTTAATAGCACATGAACGCAGATAGAAATTTGTGTTTGGTCCCTCTTAAGACCAGTTAGTGTTGAGCCAATTCAAACTAATTTAGAGCACGTCTGGTCTTCTGAAAGCTTCAGCAAAGTTGCTGCTGCGCCACATTCCCCCTGAAAAATTACCTTAATCAGTAGAAGTACAAATTCTTGAGGGAGACATAAAATGGCAAGGTGATTTTTTTTAAGCCAACAGCAGCTTTTAATTGCTTTTATTTATTAATTAATTATTTATATATCTTTTGTCTGTAAAAACTTTATTTTTCCATTTATCTTAATTTCAAGTGGAAAGATGAATACAGATATTAACGTACGTAAAAGCTAAATTTTCCAACTACCACATTGTTTGTTAGGTATACCTTTTCAGTTATTATTAATGCAATCCAATCAGCCAATCACATGACAGCAACTGAATGCATGTAGGCAGGTGGACATGGCCAAGACACCTCCTGAAATTCAAAAGTGATTTCAGAAACTGCTGATCCACTGGGACTTGTCCCACACTATCATCCCACTGCTTTGAGTTAACAAGCAACAGTGAATCAAATCTGAAGAGTCTCATTTTCTCCTAAACATTTAGATGGTAGCCTGCCTTGTATCAAAGTTTCATGTTGCTGCTGGTGGTGTAATGGTGTGGAGGATATTTTTTGGCACACCTTGGGAAATTTAAACACCATGTCCAGCTTGAGTACAGTTTCTGACCATGTCCATCTCTTTTTCTGAGCAGAGTGTACCCAACTTCTGATGGTATAATAGTATAATACACCATGTCACAAAGCTTGAATCATATCAAACTGGTTTCTTGAATATGAGTATAAGTTCACTGTATTCAAATGGCCTCCACGGTCATCAGATTTCAATCCAATAGAGCATCTTTAGGGTGTGCTGGAACAGACCCACAAAATGTGCAGCAACCATGTAAAGCTATCATGAAAATAAGGATTAAAACAATCTGAGGAATGTTCCCAACACGTTATTGAATCTATGCCACAAGAATGAATACAGCTCTGAACGCAAAACTGGATCCAATCCAGTGCTAGCAAGGTGTACCTTATGAATTGGCTGGTGGGTGTATACTAAGGTACAGGTGAACACAATGGAAATCCTTTGTGCTAAAAAGTATACGCAAACACCATGAGTCTAAATGATCTGTTAATTCATTCCTTTTATTAAATGTGTTAATTCCATTTGAATTTATAATAGAATAGCCCTTTGTTGTCATTGTACAATACCAAAATATAATATAATATAAATAGCAGACAGCAGGAATAAATATAGAGAAATTTATACAAAAACAATACAAAGGCACACATTGAAGAGCAAGTTCCAAGTTACCAGTCTCATCTCTGCTGGCTTTTAGTTGATATTGTGTATCATCTACTCTACGTCTCTATTGTGTCATCCAATACCTGGAGTTGTGCATCCTTACTGCAGACAGACAAAAAAGGCACTTTGGCTTTCCAGCTCTGACAATTTCAAAACAGCCCGGTTACTTACTTAGTTTTAATGCAGACGAATAATTGATGAAGCAAGTACTTCATATGGAACAGCTACTCTGTGATGTGGTTGCAACATGACTCATGTTTATTGTTATATAAAGGAGCAATTAACTAAAGTGAACAGAAAACACTGAACATTTCAGTGCGTAGGAAACCATTTAGAGGCATTATGAGGTCATACTTGATGTTCACCTTGAGGAAAGCAGCAAAATCGATACAGAGGATGCAAAAATAAGGAGAGCTAAATGCGCACTGAATGTTGGCTCTTGACATAAGCTGACAGTTTTGAATACGATGGAGAATTCACCAAAGACAAACCACTTTCACAGCGGACCATTTTGGACCACACTCAAAAGTAACAACACTGATGTTAACAGCAATTCCCCAAATGATTATGGTCTGCTATCAGTCATACAAGAATATTTCAAAGAGCAGTGGTACCACACAAAAGAAATTAAATGCATAGGTTATTTAAAAATTCCATGTCTTCTCTTTAATTCTACACTTCACAACCCTTAAAATAAGAAAGCCATACAACGGAAAGGGGAATTAAATAATACACAACATTATTTTCAGATGTTATCTTGTAATTCAAGTATACAAAAGTTCACACAAGAACACCTGATTCGAAGTTTAAGATTAAGAATGTACTATTTTTCTTTGCTAGCATCGTTTAAACAGATTATTGCCTCTAGATGTTCAGTGTACTCAGTTTGAAAACCTCTAACATGATTTAGCAGGCGAGAAATTTTAAGAAAACAAAACATCCCAGAGTAGCTCATCTGTGTGAAGTGTCACCCGACTCTGAGCAGTATAGCCAGTCACTCCCTCTCTATGAATTTGAAACCCTGGAAGAAAAATCACTCCTTCCCGTTGTCCCTCTGTCTTTCCAAAGTCCTCACCATTTCAATCCTGTCCTTCCAAATCCACACCCGAGTCTGTCAGGTTACTGAAACCCAGAACCCAAAAACGCATGGTCACCTATGAAATGCAGTTGTCTACAACACAAACCCTTCTTGTCTATAGTGTACATGTTTGTGGATTGTTGCCTGCCTCTGTATGCTACAGTAGCATTTGCACAGCGTGGTAGCCTCTTAATGAGATTTGAATGTGCAGTTTAGGGTGCTTTCACACCTCATCTGTTTAACGTAATTCAAAAAGAGGATTAGAGCTTTTTATTTTCTAAAATACAAATGAATACTAACATCAAATCAAAACATTTTACATCGTTCTCTAGATAACCTCTAATTTGGTGTCAAAAACAAACTTAAAGGTTTCCTGTCGCGTTTTTTATCATTAGTACCACAATGTATGATTGCTTGTTTTATTTTATTTTGTTTGCATCATGCACAAGAATGCACATGTACTCTTGCTAGTAATCGCTTAGCACAGCAATTCACAAAAAAGAGAAGAAGTGCTAGCAAGTAAAATGTAAATTAGAGTTCAGTCAGCACCACTGTGGTGTAAAGATGTTATTTCCATTTGCAGTGGTTTATATTTGGAGAGCATTGCTCTCTTCTGGGACTTCCCTACCCTTTCTCATGCATATGTGGAAAGCATAAGTCAGGGAGAGCACTCCTCCCTGCCGTTCCATCTGCATATAGGAAAGCTGCAGGAAGGCTGAGCACAAGCAAGAGCCTTGATATGGATCTAAGCAGGCATTAAGGACAACAGCAAATTACTGATTAAGTCGGACACAACAAGAAAGGAGGAGATGGATTGGAGGTGGGATGCAAAGCTGCTTGCAGATGCATGCATTACATAGCACACTCGGTCAAGATGTCACATAACAAGAAGCCTACATTCTAGGCTTTTATTAGCAGCTTTTATAACGCTCCCACAGCCTCAATGAATGAAAGTTTTTAAAAAGTAATGAATAAACTTTTTCTTTTTAAATGAAGTTTGTTTACACGAGAACTCTACAGGTCACCTTTAACAAGTGCAATTTCAAAATTTGATATTTTCCAGGCTATTGAACTGAAATCCATGACCCTTTTTTTATTTTGGTTTGTTTAATAATTAAAAAAAGGAATAAGCTTCATGTCTCATATTTGGTCAGCATTTTACAATAAGAGACTTGTTTAGCCACGTACGACTTTACTAACTACTTTAATTTAGGGGACACCTGAAGGGGAGGTTACGGTGAAGCAATCCTGAAGTAATAAGGAACTGCTGAGTTAAGTAGCGTCTCCCAGCTGGGTATTTGGTAAATAATCATTTTTATACTATAAAATCCAGCATCAGGCATTATTAGGGTAGAACTGATGAATAACTCATTAACTACTGGGTTGCTCCTTATTCATTCATTTACTACTACAGCTTCTATTCCTACAACCAAGCACTTGTTTGTGTCTCTTATTGTAACGTGTTTTCCTTATATGTTGATCTAATGGTCTTTTTAGAGGGATCAAAAAGATGCTGACTAGAATTTACCCAACCACAGGCTAATGTCTTTGTTACTTTTGTTAAACACCCTTGAATACAAAGACATGTACTGAATAATAATAATAATAATAATAATAATAATAATAATAATAATAATAATAATAATAATAATAATAATAATAATAATAATAACAAGTGTAAAAGGGAAATTAAGTACATGATCAGTTTGAGAAGCGGCAAATGTTTCAAATTTTTATTTGATCAATTATTTAAAAGAAGAATCCATCATCAGAGTTGCCTCTGATTAGCTTGATAATTAATTAAATCCTTTATTTGGTTCCTGTAGCACTGGTTTGCTTATGTACAAACTCCAAACAGCGAAACCTTCTCAATATAATTTTAACTATTTCAAATATTTTATATGTCTACGTGATCGCGCCCTGAGACCTTTTTTTTGTATTTGTGAGCCTAATATGTGTAGTGTGTGTACAGGCACATGCATGTGTAAGTGCTTTTTGTGCATGTGTTTTTACAGAAAGTTGTCGTTTTAGTTGTTGTTGCATTTGCTGTGTGGTGTTTCTGTTTATGAGAGTGTTTTCTTTTTCTCAAACAATATCTCCACTCTGCTATTTCCTCCCCTTCTCCTGTCCTCCCTTTCATCTCTCCTCATGTAGCTGTCTTTTTCTGAAGCCATGCGGAACAAGGCTCGTCTGTCCATCACAGGAAGTGTGGGGGAGAATGGCCGCGTCCTGACGCCAGACTGCCCCAAAGCTGTGCATGCTGGCCACGCCTCCCTCCGACACCCCGGCCTTGCAGTGGTCTCCTCTGGACTGCCCTGAAAACCAAAAAACACCTGCCGTGCCTTAACAACACACAAACATACTAGGACTTCGACAAAGACCCAAACACACACTTACATACAAAAAGATCTATATATATATTCTCACACACCCGCACGTACATGATCATAGCAACAGAAGCTCAAATATTCAGATACAGAGAAACACATTTTTACATGAAACACACACACACCGCATCATCATTTCACATTTCCTGCTGCCACTGACTCATTTTACAGAAGACTGATGAATACAACTGTGGAGCGAACGGTGTAGAAACAGAGCAATGGACAACTATGGCGTCACACTTGCCTGCAGCATTCTTTTCTTTTTAATTTTCTTTCTTATCTTTTTTTTTGAGAGGATGCCAATATCGCGAGATCATCGAACCAACAGGAAAGCCAGCACAGATTCCCATGAACAATGAGCTGTGAACACGACCATAAAACTGATCATGATGATGACAGTGATAAAGATGATGACCACAGCCGACGAGAGGAAAAAAAACAAAAAACAGACAACCAAACTACTTAGCTCCCACTCTCTCGTCATTGGACAATAAGCCACACCCCCTTAACAGCGCCTTACTAAGACGACAAACATTGTTTTCATCATAATCATCATCACGGTCGTCATCAATTTAACTTGCCTGCGAAGAGTGCCAGCTAGTATAACCCTTAGAAGACCAGAAAACTGTAAGCTTGAACATTTGGACTACTCAGCCATGGACTGCTCAAAATGAATGAAAATGCTTACAGAATGGTTTCTCTCCCCAAACCAGCGAGTTAATCGATATAGAACAGAAGTAACCTCCAAAACACAGACTACACAGGGGTTTGTAAAAGAAAAAAAAAACGTGGTAATTCATGGAGCCCCTCATCAACAGCATCAACATGACAGTAGAAATTCTAAATAGCAAAGTGATGAATACTTATTTTCCCGAGTGGGTGAGGTTGATAAATAGAGAAAAAAAAAAAAAAAGAAATACATGGGCAGATCTCAAATGGCTTCCTAACAAAGTGTTTCTCAGCCTGACAACTGGGATCTTACAGACGTTTGCAGACGAAATGAGCGAGACGTTTGAAATACGTTGGGTAAAAATCTTTAAAAATGTGGGAATGCATTCATTTTCCACTGTAAAAGGTAAAAGGATATTTGAACTATAAAGGCCAACTTTGACAATTTCCAATTCAGTTCAACTCAAATGGGCAGTTTGGTTGTTATTTGAGATCCTCCATTTTTTCCAGTCGCTGGGAAAAGGTACCATATCAGAGAGCTTGCTTTTTAAAACTGTTGTAAATAACTGCGTAGCAAAACAGAATTCACCTGTCTTTTTTAATCATCTTAGATAACAATTCATTGCAATAATGAATATAAAAAATGCCACTACTTGTAATTAAGATGAAATTTTTTTTATAAATCTACATATTATATATAATACAAATAAATAAATATATATATATATATATATATAAAAGCCTATAGAGAGCTATAGAAAACATTGATCACTGATTGTCAGAGGCCATGGCATACATTCTGTTCAATGGCTGTTTTTTGATAACTTGAAAATATTGAAATACCACCGTTTTCATGTGTCCGAAACAACACTGAATGTCCATCTGGCACTCACAGAGACACACACATGGAAACATGCGCACATACATAGTTGCATAGACGCGGTCGGCTCAAACCATAGAACCATTAGTTATTCACTGCTTTACACTGTCTAATAGTGTCTTTACCCCCCTCAAATCTATGTTTTGTTAGCTGCAAAGCCACTTGAAACAATGTAAAAATGCCACTGTTTATGACTGTACGTAGAGGCGGTAGATCAGTTTGACTGCTGTACTGCTGGGAAATAGTTTGGGGCATTTTCAAAAGTGTAGCACTAATGGTGCTTTTATTTTTTTTAAATCACATTTTGTCATCGCGTTTCGTTCACATTCATGTTCAAACTGAACGGGTTTGCGCTTCAATAAGTGGACTATGTTTTCCCCTGAATCTATATGGTACGGTACATTTTTGGGGACCTGAAAATAGAAAAATGCATATTGCATTACAGACCGGTGTGTAGGTGTTAGTGACATCTGGCTGTCAGATTGGAGACTGCAACCAGCAACAAACTTACAGTCAACGTCATTTCAACAGAAAAACACAAAGGCCCTCTGGCATTTGGTTGGTCCAAACCTGGCAATATCCAATGAAGACGAGCTGCTTCCTGTGTATGTATGAAGGGCTCATTCTAGAGTAATGAAACACAGTCATTCCCAGGTACAGGTTGTTATATAATGATGAAAACATGCTTAAAGAAGCACTCTAAATCCTGCACACTGATCCTTTAATATCTGAGGATATCTTGGTAAAAAAATAAGGGAAGTAAATTAGTGCAGTTATTATACTGCAATACAGCTAAAGCATGATGCTTAAGATCTGTGTCATAATGCAGCCCGATACTGTATGTTTATGTTTTTTGCCCTTCCAATTTTGTTATTTTATAGTTTGTCCTTTACCCTACCTCTCACCTGCTTAGGCCATCATTGTTCCTTCCCCACGTTTTGTCTTGTCTTCCTTTGGCTCGTGTCTCCCCTAACATGCAAAAAGCTCTGTACATAGCACATCTCAAGAATGATTTCTTGAAAATATTTCAATTTCTTGCCCTAATCCAATGCAAAGTAACAGGCTAGAGATTAATCAAGAACCTGAGACACCGGTTGACAATCTGAGTTTCTTCTAGCTCTGCGTTCTCAGCGTTGCTTTCCTTCTGTATCATAACCTTGTCTGTTGAACTCGCACCTCATCTTGTATTAGTCCTGCATCAGATCTATTCAAGCCAAACAGACAAACACATAAACAGAAAAGAACCTCTTGAATCTACATGTATTTCAGACAACAGATTTAAACTATCCATAAATTTTACCAGTAAAGTAGAAATTTTCTACTCACTTCTCGGCCGAGGGGATCAGGAGCCTGCAGAAGTACTGCACCAATCCAGCATGAGAAAAAATGCTCAAATAGTGGGTTTCTTACAGTTATCACTAATCCAGCTCACTAGACCAGAAACACCAGACACTTCAACCTCACATGATACTGTTGCCTTTTCTTTCTTTTTTTTCATTTATTTTATTTTTCACCACCAGAGCATAAGATTTTGTGCGAAGACAGCAAAAAGCTGACCGGTGGGTTGTCAATGCTCTGGCTTTAACAGTTTCTTTCTTCCTTTATTTCTTTCTTTCCATCAGTTTTCTTTTTTCTAGTAAAACATCAATGCTCAATCTCCTGTCTCTGTCTGTGCTTATTTATCCAGTAATCTCAATTCTACACCTCCAACAGCAGAACGGTGGATTCATTTTCAACCAGATGATGAAATTGATATTGATCGCTTTATTTAATGGTTTGTTTCACAATGAAAGATCCATAGTCAAATATACTTAACTGGACTGAGGTAAGTACTAACTAAGCAGTATGAAACATGAGAAAAAAGCAACATAGAAAGAAGGAAAGAAGAAAGCCAAGGAGTTCTACAGTTTGGACAGATTTAGACAGACTCCCAACAAAAGTACTGGATTAACTTTGGAATTGCAATCAACTTATAGCCACAGTTTTCAGGGATTCAGAAGTAACTGGAAAAAATTTAATTTTATCAATTTTATTGTTTTTATCTATTTATTTATTTTACATGAAAGTGATTTGAACTCGATCCCTGTAGTCTAGAAACCCTGAGCATCACCAAATGCTGTGTTTCCTCCCGTGAGATGCTCTGTTGCTGCTTGTTTGTGGGTCTTTCTCCATTTTTGTATTTAATAATTGAAAAGCATGCTCTACTCATATCAGGTGACTGACTTCACCATTGAAATATACAGATTTTTTATTTTTTTTTGCCTTGAGAAACGCTTGGTTTTCTTGTGTATGACTTGAGTCATCATCCTTTTCACTGTGAAGTGCTGTCCGTTCAATTTTGCAGCACTTGGCTGAATCTGAGCAACGAGAGTCAACAGCTCCACTGGCACTCATACATGCCCATGCCTTATCATTGCCTTCACCATGTTTGATAGGTAATGTGCTATGTTTTGAATCACGAGCTGTTTCTGTCAGTCTTTATACTTTTCTCTTCCCATCATTTTGGTACAAGTTTAATTTGGTTTAATCTGTCTTTTAGACATTTTATGTCAAAGTCTAATCTGAGCTCCTTGTTCTTGAGCATAACCAGTGGTTTGCACCCTGTTGTAAACTCTCTGTATTTATATTCAGGAAGGCATCTGATAGTCAACTTTAACAGTGAAATTCAAACCTTCTTAAAAGTCTTCTTCACTTAGGTTGATGTTGAGGTTTTCTTAACCAAGTAAATAATTTGCATCTGCTTTAGCTGACACATGTAGTCTTTTAGGTCTTTTTAAGACTATAACAGATCGCTGATTTTACCACCCTTAAGGTTTGTCTATCTCTCTGATAGATTTGTTTTTATGGCCTAATGATGGCATGACCTCATACTGAGAGCTACAGTTAACATCTACCAAATCCAAATTAAACACAACACTTGGAATCATCTACAGATCTTTTATCTGTATAATTACTTTTGAGCCTCAATCACATCTTCAGTCACATATTGATTGTTAACTGTGGCCAGTTTTTTTGCCTCAGCTGCCACTGTTATTTGAAGAGATAAGAAAACAGAATTCAATTGACTGCAATCTGTATGTTGTTGAAATCTCCCAATTCTTTGAATCTTTGGGCTGAAGGAAGGACAATACTCGGTGTATTTATGCTCAATCAACAATCATTTATTTCCATACAATTCAACACTTATGAGCATAAGGACCATCATGATGGGGAGAGCTGCCTGAAGAGGGTCACAGCAAGTCTCAAAATGGTGACGGGTTGCTCAGCTTTTTATAGTCTCTAGTGGCCCCCATCTAGTCGTAAAAGCCAAAACATCACATTCTTTCTCTGTTACAGCGCCTAAGTTATGACCTCGGCAGTTGTCTCTCTGCTTTCTGTAAGGTGGGGGTATGGAATGTGGTCTGTCTATCTCCCCTGTCTTAGACACAGAGTCTCCTGCTTACAATCTTCTCTTCATGATTCAACAATTAAGCATGTAACACATTCACAGCAGGTCAAGGATACAGAGTGATGCACACTTGTCTAATAAACTAATATGTGAATATGTTCTGTTAACTCAAAAGTATAACAAGAACTAAACTACATACAGCTCACACACTCTATATTAAAGGGTATAATATGATCTACAGCAGTATTCTAATTCAACTACTTTGATTACATATATAAGGTAACATATGATAACCGAATAATATCACAATTCCCCCTTTGATCTCTTTTCTTCAAAGAGATCACTTACAACATACACTCCAGCATTACAAGGTCCAGTTCTTCTTGGTCCTGAGGCCCTCTGTCCCCCTTTAACGGGTGGACCATATGTGGGATGACCTCTGTGTTCACGCAGTTCAGATGCAAGCAAAGTTAGATTTACGACCATAACAGCAGTTACAGATGACACTCCCATCACTCCCCAATTCTCCCACAGCTTTATTTTGGTGCTCCAGTTCTCCACTCCCATTTTAATGCCCCCTTATACCTTTCAAATGTACTTAGACTAGAACCTCTGTCTAAGGAGCTTTTAACCTTCATTTTTATTGCTGCAGCTACCAGTATCTTCCAGTTGGGTGATTCTCAGCTTCTTTCCTCGACCAAGAGCCCCGTTGGTCTGGTGTTCCTGGTTTTCGCCAACCCCTTCATGGTTATTGCTGTGTTTATGGGATCCATCTTCTCCAGGAGCCCAAACGCCATGACACTTGACCCCAGTTGCTGTCTCGGCAGTCCCTACATCTGTCTCTGCTGTGAAGGGTCCTCACATCTCCGTGTCCCCATCTGGTGTCTGTTCCTTTCTCTGCAAGAGACAGAAAACCAAAACACCTCTCTCCCTAGCCTTGATAATCTAATATTGTTATCCATTGTTGTTCTAATGATTCAAATTTGGTTTAAAATATTATGTTCAGGACCTATTCTAATCATAATCTATGTATGTGTAAAAGAAATCAAAAATTAATGAACCATTTCTAAGTGTAACACATTATAAGCTTAAGTTTTACCATAGCTAAATTATTAACCACCACAGAAATAACGTCATAAGATGTTCATAAAACCATTGTTTGATGTTCGGACTCAACTCCCCCCTTTTTGACACACTCCCATGTGTCAATTCATTGGAGCTAGACAATTAAAAGAGAAGGTTAGTGACATCATATCTCAGAAAGTATCAGAAATTCTTCTCTCGAGTACCGTTGCTCCAGCCTTGTCATCCCTGAGGATCCTCAATCCCGGAAATTTCCCTTCTTCCCATGCAATAAAGTCTGTCATCCTTCCATGCCCTGGTAACTGGTCCACCCAGAGCTGTAACATTTTGAAATGTACATACAACAAGCCAAACCACACCTTGGTCACACCAACCCTTTTCTGCCCTGAAGATGTCCAACGCCATCTTAGTCTGGACCAGGGTTGTAATAGTTTTGCAATTTTCATTAGTTTTTATTTTTATTTAGCTTCGACTTCAGATTTTCAATTTTATATCAGTTTTAATCAGTTTTTACCAATTGTTTGCTAGTTTAGTTTAGTTTTAGATTAGTTTCAGTTATAGTTTTAGTTGTGTCTGCAATAATTAAGTGTAGCAAAATCCCAGTCCCATCATATCAGTCATGCTCTTGTGCTTATTTTTTTTTTTTTTTTTTTTTTTTTTTTCTTTTTTTTGGCCTGTCCCGTTTGGCTCTTTTGCCATCAGAATTGTTGTCTAAAGGCAAAGAAAGATGCCCAACGGATTTACTTTACCAAATTGACCATCCCAGCCTTGCCGTAATGGTCCATTTGATTCACCTTTTATTGTTTATTTTATTTTCACTTACTGAATACGGGACAGACTTGACTGGGGGAAAGAAGGGGAGAAAGAAAGAGGGAAAGAGAAACAGCTGAGAAGAGGGACGGGGGAGAAGGGCAAAAGACAAAAACCAACAGAACGGGCAGAGGAAAAAAAATGCATATATCAATCACCTGGATCACCTGCTGAGAAAGAAAAAAGAAAAGCAAGCAGAAGAGAACAAGAGTAATAGAATAAACAACATCACAATGATATATGTGAATATGACAGTAAATACTAAATATTAAACATTATTGTGCAGCACATAAGATCAACAGAACACAGTGTGCTTTGAGGTAGGAGCCAAAAAGGGTGTAGTTTGTGGGTGTGATCACCCGTGTGTACACCTGTGAGGCATGGACGCGCTTGTTTTTTTTTGTTTTTTAAAAGGTTCCTTCATGTAATAATCTGCTAGAGGGTGTGGGGGGGCCACAGCCCCGTCCTCCAGGGCGTGAGGCAGGTATGGAGGAGATCAAAACTCCAGACATCCAGAGGCCCCCAGAACACAAGAGACCAAGGAAGACCAACAGAGGGGCAGCTGCGCCACTGTCCCGGAAAGAGCTGAGGAGAGTCCCAGATGAGGGCTCACTCAGCAGCCGCGGAGCAGAAGCCAGGGGGAGTTGCAGTGACGAGCCCGTGAGCTCCGCCGGCAGCCAGCTGCGCCTGAGTGACCGAGCCCCAGGCCGAGAGGCCGGGGGCACCCCACCTCCGAAGTGGCCCGAGCGAGCCCCAGGCTTATCCTTGGGTATTGTGACTATTAACTCTTGCAGCACCGGGTGCTCCTAATTTTGGTTCAAGTGAATTTATAAACTTTGTGAAGGGAATTGACTCCTCTGCACACTGGAATAAACATAATCAACATGATCCACATTTTACTGCGTGTTATTTCACCATCTTATTGATTCAAATGCTCCATCCTTATGTGGTTTGCGACATTATGTTTATCCACTCTGTCTCTAAATGTTTGAAGAATTTTCAAGTTTGGGGTCAAATTTTAAGAATTTGACCATAAGTGAAAGTTATGGTGTCATCACCCCCTTCGGGGCTTACCTTTCCCAGTTTTGATGATATTCCTCCCTATTCTTTGCAATACCCCCTGTGGTGGCGAGAAACTGTTGGTGTGGTCAAGTGGGTGCTTAGAAACAAAGCTCAGGACAGAACAGTTATCAGTCATGTACTTCATACAAATTTTGCATATGTTTTATTCAATTGATCCTCTGAGTGTAATGGTACATTTTAATTTGAATTTATCCAAACTAAACACAATATTTTCTTTATTTACTTTGCTCTTGTTCTTTTGCAGTACCACATCCTATCACATGTCCCTGTCAATTATATTCTACATTTAATAACTTACTATTTCAATGAGAACCTAAATCACGTGGACCAATGTTTATTATTGCATATCTCTATTCTGAATGTGGCAAGTCATTCATAGGTATTGTTAAAGTTTTGGCGATTTTCCTCTATAAAATTTATTGACTTTTTACAGTGGCCTGCTAAGGTTAATAGTAACATATTCCAGTCATGAGTGATATCAAAGTTTTCTCCACTGTAGCATTTGGCATTCCCAATAATATAACATGATACCTTAATCAAAACACAGCTAATATAGCACAGTTTTCTTAATGCAAACATCAGTAACTCAAATCAGCAACCAAAGTGTTAAGTCTGCAGTTCATACTATGTGAAGCTACAGTCTCCTCCTCCAGTCTCTCTTATCCTCCTGCTCCTGAAAAAACAAAACAAAACGAAGCATCCACCCTTCTCTTGTCGGCTGGGTGAATTGTTTATTGGCATTTACTAATCCTAAAGTGGGTGCAGTCATTGTACTGACATCTAGTGGTGAGATCATACACACTGTACCTTTAAATTCTACTATAGTTGTGTACAGAGGCAAAAAGGGTTATTGCATTTTTTCCACTTCTAAATCTGTAAAACTACTACATGCACAAAATACATGGTTGACTTATATGAATAAATTAGCACTTAATGTTGAGGAAAGTTAATGAAACACTTAACTGCCAAGGTACAACAGGCACAAGTATATAACATCTCCCGATAGAGCAAGTTTAAGAGTGTAAAGTCATTATGAGACATTAAGTACACACAGTTTTAGGCAACTCAAGTCCTGACATAGTCCAAAGCTGCTTTTATCCACATGTACCAGCCAGCAGGTCATAGTCCTCTCTTTACAAATACTCTTTTTCAGGTAAAGATAGAGTGTGCAGGAGCCATGACACATGATCCCCACTTATTCACAAACAGCAACATGTGAATATACAATAATTGTAGTATTTTTGATGCAGGCTTATCCACAACATAAACAAGTGTTAGGATTTCAAGGTCAGGGTTTACTAACCTTGTATTTAATCCCAGATCTACCAACCAAACACCCTTTTCCTGAGGGTTTCTTGTCTTTGAGTGAGATTCTAATCAGAGTCATTCATACCTCAGCCAGACCATCACGCAGCCCAGTTTACTCAGGATTCGTTAGACTAGTTTCTGGCACAGAGATAAACAGCCATTAACCGCCATGGAGCAGGGAGGTTTGCAGAAAGATCTAGCTTTTCATGTATTATCACCAGCACTATGCTCACATTGCTACAGTCAAATGGGAACAGAGTAGGGACCTGGCAGCTTAAAGACCATCACTGTCCAACCAAACTGAGAAGGATACAGTTTCACCATGAACTACTGAGAAATGATCCGCACCCCAGAGCAAAGCGTTAAAAAAAAATCAATTAATTCAAATTCAAATTTATATTTATTTATAGATTTGTTACATGTAAATACTAAATAAAACACGTTGCAAGTAGCAATATAAAAGCAGGCAATAAGACCAGAAGTTACAATGATTATTTAATGATTTTGCACTCATTGAGTTTCTCTAATAAGAAAAATACTTTTACAGTGGAGAATTTAACACCACACCAAACTGAAATAAGTTCATGGATATCATCTAATTGTCTATAGATTGCATGCAGCTTCAGGAACTATTTTAGTGTTTTGTTTCTACATATTTTCTGCTTTTTGCTTTGCACTTAATAAGCAAAAGGATCATAGCAGATAAGGATTACTGTGTCCATTAACTTGACTTAAAAACTAAAAAAGGGTTGGATTTTTGAGTCTGTACTCGTGCCATTACATGATTTTAAACCAAAATGAAATCGCTCAATCAGTGGTTTTGAGAAATCCATTTTTCTCCAGAGACAGATGGAGGTTTTGGGGTTTTTTTTAAGTTTTACAGGACTTCTTATGTGTCTGCCCTGTGTGATACCAACATGTCTCAGTCTCTGCCGCTGTAGACCTGCCGTTATGGGGTTAAAAACTCCCTGCTGTGAGTTTGTCATTTGGGTTGTATTTTTCTTCAGTCCTTGGGGATCTAACACTCTTAATGCAGAGCTATCACCAACAAGCATTTCCCATTATTTCCCATCTCACTCACGCTCTCGCAGAAACCCACACATGCGCTCGCACACCATGCTGTGTTATTACTGACAAGTATTTCCCATTTACTTGAAGATGAAGCAAAATAACAGTTTTGTGGAGTTCCACCGCCCTTTTAACCTTGCACCTTCGTGTGCAAATGCCCACATGTGAACGCTCACATGCCTCCCGTCTGCCTCTTTTATTGTTACTGCAGAGTGACAGCACCCTTTTCACCTTTTTATTTTTACTGACACGATTTATCTTTCTCAGCCTCTGCCTTACCTACGCTCAGCATTATCCCCCTTCTGCTTGGCCCCACCTCATTTCTCCTCTGCTCTCACTGCTCATTCTCTTTATCCTCCCCTCCTCTTGTCATATCTTATTTCTCCTGTTTTGCATTCGTCTCTCAGGGGGAATCCCTGTCACACCGTGATTTGTCATCCACAGCTCCTTTCCCGTTATGACCACCTCCCCTGCTCTCTCTTTTTCTTGAGGCATTTCTCACGATCTGATAGAAGATTAAATTCCAACACTCTTAGCACACACAGGCAGCTCACCGTTGTGCTGGTTTGTTGTTGTTGTTGCCACTGCAGCTGCTAGGGTCTGAATATTTTAAGACTGTTAAGAAGTGGGGTTACTCTAGTACATACTACCTACCTATACGCGTACAGAGCTGGAGTAGCCGCACACAAAAAATGAGATGACAATAAATAAATTCACAGCTGGGATTCTTCAGGGTTGAATTAGTGCAAATTTTCTGGCTGAATGAATAATAAATGAGATTGTTTGTCATTTAATGCCAATGGAAAAAGAATGACTAAAATATTTTCAGTTTCGATTTATGAGTAAATCAAATGGAACTGATTACAAAAAAACAAAAACACTTTGCTTCTGGATGATTGTCTTAGCTTTTTCTGCACACTGTGACAACTAATTGCTGATTTCTCTGACAGTAGTAACACACGCACTGGGAGTCGAGGTCAAATGTCAGATTACATACAAATCCATCATGGCACCAAATTTACTTCACGAGAGTCCAAGGAAGTTAGAAAGAAGCTGCTGAAGGGAGATTTCAGATATGCAGTTGACTGCAAAAAGTAACAGAATTCGTGCATGTGAGAAGCTTTAAATAAAATTTATGAAAAAATATTGCCTCCCTGCAACACTATGGTTTCTGATCTATATTAGCAGAGCCTGTCGTGTGAGGGCTGTGTGCAGGCAGGAGTGGTAGGAGGACCCAAAGTGCAGACCGTCTTGGACAAAAGGTGAACTTACACTCAGATTTATTGCTAGATGGCAAACAGAGAACTAGCAAAACTGGGAATACAAATAATAAACTGAAGACACCAAATAACCTGAAATGGCAAATGGCAAATGGCCAGAACACACAGCAAGATGCGAATAGATCACAACACGGACACAGAGAAACACAAGGCTTAAATACACAGAGGGAGCAATCAGGGAATCGGTAATAGGAGGGAAACACAGCTGGGGAAAATCAGGCCTAACGAGACAAGGGGAAGCGAAAGCAGATACATTAACATCAGACATGGACCTTCAAAATAAAACAGGAAACATAACACAGACTGAACTAAAGACACAGACTCACACGCAGGCACTGCAACAGAGAGAACAGAGACGTGGGACCAGGACAGACACTGACTGGACACGGGGATATCGCAGACAGGGGAGACAGCAACTAAGGATGCACAGAGACATAAACCATAAAAGAGAACTCTAACAAAGAAATCCAAGATTAGAAATGATAAATAGTATAATAAATTCAAAACCCTGGGTCAACGACCCAGGCATCCTAACAGAGCCATAGTACACAGCAAAATCTCCAGTGTTAAATTAACACTGGAGAGTGTCTATATGGGTCCACACCTCTGAGTGTTAAATACAACACTGTTGAGTGTTAAATTAACACTTTTGACAGTGTTATATGTTTAAAAGTAACCTAGTCAGTTTTGAAGATTAACAATGGCTAACACTGAGCAGTGGTTTTTCTAACACTGGAAAATAACTCAAAATGTTAGAAATATTTCCAGTGTTAGAAAATCAGCACTGCTCAGTGTTAGTCTTTGTTAATCTTCAAAACTGACTAGGTTACTTTTAAACATATAACACTGTCAAAAGTGTTAATTTAACACTCAACAGTGTTGTATTTAACACTCAGAGGTGTGGACCCATATAGACACTCTCCAGTGTTAATTTAACACTGGAGATTTTGTTATGAAAAAAATAGTAATAATAATAATATTAATAAAGGACCTAAACTCAAATAGTTTTTTAGATAATAGAATTTTAAAATGGCCCCTCAAAAAATCATCTAACACCTTTTATTAAATTTTATTTTTTGGAAACCTAATCACAGTAAAAAAAAAAAAAAAAAAATTCAGACCAATTTATGCACATCAAGTGGGATTATTTTTTTCTTTTTCGTTTCGTAATTTGATGGATTTAGATGGAATGACCCGAAAAGCCTTGATTTCTCTCACAGAGGAACAGCAGACACCAACCAGTTTTAAGTGACTGACAATCAACTGTTGTACAAAGCCACTTTCATGCTCTTCTATCCAACTAACATGTTGAAAGCAAATTTATCTTGACAAGACAAGGGTTTTTATTAAATTATGCATCCACTCCAACAGAAATATCAGAATATGCAGTAAAACAGTACATTAGGTTTAATCAGCACCTCATCAAATCAGTGTTATCATTACTTACATGACTCAACGTGTCTCAGAAACAAAACCAAATTCCTGTTTTTGCACTTTTTTTGGCATTCAATGCACAGTCACAAAGCATTTTATAATTAAAGGAATTTTACAAAACGATGGGTTAGAATGGGACTAGACGGGCAGAATGTTCACTTTCATTACTAATCAGATTGGCTTCGTAATATCTCTTCTCTTTCATAGACTGCCAACGAGAGCTCTTACAGCAAGTCTGAGAAGAAAAACCTGAGATTACCTCTAAAGTCCATCCACTGTTTTTCAAATCTTGAAACAGCTGATTTTAAGGTATTAGACCCCTGAAATCCTTGGACACAGATCTTTGAGCTGTAGCGAGCTCTGTGACCTCTGGGCAGGCAGCTTTTAGTTTTTATCCTCGCCACCTGTGAAACAGTCTGCCACAGGACCTGCGGGCATCTCAGTCTGTGCACAGTGTTTTACCTTCACAACGCTAACAGCGCTCTCTCACTCTTATTTCTTTTCTTTTTTTCAGAAAGGTTATAAATGTGTAATATCTGTTAACCTGATATAATGGGCTGCATCACTGAATAAGGTCAAGTAAAGTTAACACGATATCAGGAAGGAAATATTGTATTGTTTTTTTTCCTCTAATAAGCTCACACAGTCTAGACAGCAGTCAGTTGACTCAATATATGACTTCAGTGCTGAGGGACTCTTTGAATCAATACAGTGGATTTTCAGATCACGTCTAAAGATAAAGCAGAGCCTTTTGAATGAGGCTTTCCTCTCTCAAGTAGAGACGAGTATAAACCATGGGACCGAGAAGTAAACTAGCCTTTTGTGATTTGATCCGTCGGCCTCGACCACCTCGCTTTGAATGTGTGTCTTTGTTTGTGTAAGCCCTCGGGTGATAATGAAGGTCTTTCTTATGAACTTACAGTAAATGTTTCACTTTCAAGTGTCACCAGGTTAAATCAGATTTAGTAAAGTCCTCAAAAGTTGCAGTTTTTGAGAGGCGCATCAGGGACATTTCAGCAATTGTCCCTTCTTCTTAAAGAGCATCAGTGCAGAAGAGTAAAAACTTTTACATTTTTTCTTATTATTCTCTTTTGTCGTTATGCATAAAGACATGAAAGGGCCCTCACAGCTTAATCATCAGAAGCAGCACTTTAGGATCTGGATGTATAACAGATTTTGTTTCATTCTGAGCACCACAATTTTTGAAATTTCTCTTTATCAACAAGTATTTTAGCAAAAAGGCACAATTTCAGGAAAATATTTTAAAAAGACGCACTTGTAATGCATTCTCCACAAAGTCCAATACCCAGATTTTGTTATTTTAATTGACCCAGACCTACACCCAGATATTTAACCTTTTCTTTGCCTGTGTTCAAAGAAAGTTTCATGAATTTGGGCTCCGTAGACTTTAGTTTTATATAATAACATATTCATACTATGATTGAATGTCAAATATAAATCAACATAAGAAAAAATATCTAACATTAGGAAAAAGTAACAATATTTATGATGACTATTATTATAATTTTCAATATAAAAGCTTGTGTTTGGTGTCATTGATGTTACAGATGACACAGCTTTTAGTACAGTATGGATTACAGTCTTCAAAGCCAGTAATACTTTACAGCATGTTTACAACAAAACTTTCATTACTTCACTTACAGTATTTTTTTAGCATGCACATCAAACTTGCTGATCAGAAATTCCTTTAAAAATCTTGCAAAGTCCTTCCTGACATGAGTAGGAGGAATACAGATGTGTGGTGTATAAAATCAGCAATAGCTGAATTCCATTTAGGTTTCTCAGTATCAGGGTTGTGGTGTGACTCGTGTTGGATCAGTGGTAGTGATATTAGTATCTAAAAGCCTGTGAAAAGGTGAGATATCAACTTAAAATATTACTGTCAATCGTGTTTGTCTTCTGTGAACTAAAATTTTTCTGTACAAGAAAAGTTGTGTGCTTTTTGTTACAGTCACACTAGAGAAAACGGTGGTTGGAGATCGCAGAACGCCGCAAATTATTGTGACCGTGTGCAATGACCATGCAATTTTGCTGCCTTTAAAATGACTGATAGGGACCATGTCTGCACGCAGTCAGGTGCCATCTGACTGACATTAGAACAAATTTAATACGTCAAGACGGCAAAAAGAAAAGCAAAAGGACAGAGTCAGTCTGCTGTCAATTTATAACTGAATTAACAGAATCTGTGATTAACTGTCATAAACAGGTGGAAACTGAATCTGTGAGCCTCTACATACACAAAATTTCACATTAAACAGAAATTCACAATCACTACTTACATTCAGTCCAAATATAATATAAAAATTCCTCCACAATTGGTGGTTTAGTTGCTGTAACATGGTGATTTAACTTCAAAATGACAGAAGTAACTGGGGATCAGTCCTCTTGGCTGAGGCTACCCAATGTACACTACATTGGAGGCCTGGGTCAGGTCTGCTGCTGCTGTCAGTGGCTGCCCAGGGACAACTGCTGGTGGAGGGATTTTGAATGCGACCACATGATCGCCGGACCAATCGGCAGCCGTCAGCTCATCCACTCAGGGACCTGCAAAGACTTAAAGGCACAGACAAAGGAAACAACCACCAAAACAGATTATCAGCAATCACCTTGCAACCAAAAGTGGCCAACCAGAGGTAGGTGGAGTTGCACACTTACCTTCTATGTGACCAGTTCGTCGCAGCTATTTGCAGTTGTTTACCAAATGCAAAATATTCAATGTAATCATAATGCAACCACCATTTTTTCCTAGATGCAAGGAGGTTACCATGATATGCTTACTGTAGTGTGACTGAACTATTTGTTTTTCAGTAATAGATAGGCAAGGGTTAGGGTTTATAGGAGTTATAGTACAATAGCACTATTTCATATATATACTTAAATATTTCTGCACCAATAAAGATTAATTGCACTAACAGCCCAGTATTTATTTAACATCTTCCACAGCACATTTCTGTTAACTGGAGTGCTGAACATCAGCCAACAGTTGTTGCATTTGGCCACTGATTGTGCCGAACAAATATTACACCCTAAGGCACTGTTCTCGGGCTTCTTCTTGGCCATTTAGGAAAGATCACTAAAGTGTCTCGCACCAAACGTAGACAGTATGTCTGTGAAAAATCTGCTGCTAGTACCAATAGTGATCTGGAGACATCTAATTTATTCACCCTGCTCATCTACCCTCTTTTTCTCACTCTTATCAGATTTTTACTGACAAATGGTCCTTGTGGAGCTGCATTCTCTCTTTCTCCACTTGCAGGCGCTCTCTCTCAATCTGCAGCCTGCCAGCCTCAAACTTGATGAACTGCAGTCTCTCCTTCTCCAGCTGCAGTCTCTCCTTCTCCAGATTTAACTTCGCTGCCTCCAAGTCCGCCGCCGACACTCCCTTCTCCCTCTGTCCATCATGAGTTGAGGATAAGGACGAACGAGAGGAAAGGACTGGGCCTTGTTGCGGCGGCAGGTTAAAAGAAGAGTTGACGTACTCTGATTGGCCAACACGCATGAGTCTCAGCCTCTCTCTCTCCACATGTAACCTCTCCTTCTCTATTTGCAGCCGCTCTCTCTCCACCTCTGTCTGACGAAGTCGCTCTTTCTCCACCAATAGCCGCTCTTTCTCCACCACCAGGCGCTCAGTCTCCACAGCCAGCCTTTGTTTCTCTAGCTCCAGACGATGTTTCTCAACAGCAACCAGACACCCTGCTCCTATGTTCTCGTCACTGCTGAGTTCACCCAGCATTCCCATCAGGCCACCGGGCAGCAGTAGATTTCTGCTGGTGGTGGAAGTCGGATCCTTGGAGGGGCTGGGCATGCCCAAGTCATTGTGGGAATAAACATCAGTATCATGCCCCTCTACACGTGCCTCGATGTCACAAAGGAGAGAGGGAATATCATCATCATCCATTTCTCCATCTCCCACATCCCCGTCCAGCTAGAGGGAAGGAGAAAGAGAGAGAGAGTCATCATTTAACAGGTTTTCACACATATGTGGATAACCAGTGGGGAGATCAGCAGCAAGGCTTTCAGCGCAGAACGCTGCAGACATCAGTGATCGCAGACATGAAATTGATTAAGTCAGACAGCATGAAAATGAGGAGCTGGGGTGCAAAGTGGCCTGCAGATGTGCATCAACTGTAGCAACACCTTAACTATTGGATGTGTTTGGTATCAGCAGGACGAGGAGCTCCTCTGGGTCGGCATAACTAAAGCGAACGCCACACTTATTTCTAATTCTCACAGGAGACTCTGAAGCAAGCCTTCACAAATAAACCCAAAGAAAGATGCGCTCAAGAAGCACTGAGGTAAATGGGGGATCCTAATTTCTCCTGAGTTATTTTCTTGTTTTTATATAAATGATACAGCATTAAATACAGTCATGAGCTATTCTGAGTCATCAATCTGGATTTCTGGCTGAGAGTTTATCCCCAAATTATTTTTAAACTAAATCTCTGCGACTACATTTGATGGTTTCATGTGCTGAGCTGATTATTTCACGGTCTGCACACAAACCATCATCACTTCTTTTATTACTGCAGATTCTCTGGCTGATAATATGTACCGCTATACTAGATATCGTGCAGTTTTATATTATAAGGCAGTATTAAATCAACCAAAGACACAAAATACTGGAGAATTTTTGAGATGTATAAATATCTATATTGGCAAAAAAAAAAATTCCCTCGCCCATCCAAATCATTGAATTCAGGAGTTCTGATCACTTCCATGGCCACAGGTATATAAATTAAGCACCTAGGCATGCAGACTGACTCTACAAACATGGCTCGCTCTCAGGAGCTCTTTGAATTCCAAGTCGAGTGGTGAAATTTCCTCATTAGTAAATATTCCACAGTCAGCTTTTAGTGGCATTATAACAAAGTGGAAGCAACTGGGAACGATGGTAACTCATTTTACGTAGGCTACGTAAAATCACAGAGGAGAGTCAGTGGATGCTGAGGCGCATAGTACGCAGAGGTCGCCAACTTCCTGCAGAGTAAATCGCTACAGATCTCCAAACTTCATGTGGCCTTCAGATTAGCTCAAGAATAGTGTGTAGAGAGCTTCATGGAATGGGTTTCCATGTCCGAGCAACTCACATCACCAAGTGCAAAGCAAAGCGTCGGCTGCAGTGGTGTAAAGCACACCAGCGCTGGTCTCTAGATCAGCAGAGACGTGTTCTTTTCCAGGAGTTGGGCTTAAAATAGTGAAAAGAACAAGACATTTTGGACAATTTCATGCTCCAAACTTTGTAGAAGCAGTTTGGGGATGGCCGCTTCCAAGGTTGGATGGGCATCATATTAAACCCTATGGATTAAGAATGGGGTTTTTCTCAAGTTTATATCTTTTTGAAGGCAGATGAATGAACACTATATAGCGTATACTGCATATACTAACTCTTTAGCTGCTGTAACAGGAAGCGTTGTCTCATAAGATAAGAGTGACCAGTGAGATTTGATCTAAAAGCAGATCTTAATGTAATCACAGAAATGTAATATTTAAATGTCAGTCTTCAATTATATCCTAATTAATTAACACGTGCTTAATTTAATTTAGTCTCTACCTTGTGAACCTGCAGGAGTACAATCAACAGACTGGACTGACTAGAGACACTTGAGCTGCATAATGTGTATTAAGTAATGGCTGGTAAGGACATTAATTTGACTAATTACACATTAGCAACACTTGAATTTCAACATAGGCTGTTTGTCTTCTCATAATATTAGCAGCTCTGTATTAAAGAGCATATTTTTACAAAATAATCAGTGTGCATATACATGAAATGATGATTTAACAGACTCTAAGCTTTGATGGCTGCTCTACAGAGAGAAACACGCACACACTGTTACTCTGTATTCACTGACATCGTCCTCCATCTTTACTCCCGGCAGTGCCCCCACGGCCTGCCCGCTCGACCCGCTGAGAGCCACCATCTCCGGCCAGTCACAGTGCCAGTCCTTTGGGAAGCCCGAGAGGTCAAGCAGCTGGTCACAACCAGATCCCAAAGAAGGCGCCTCGTGCTCTGGAGAGGAATTTCCATACTCAGTCTTAATGGCCAAAGAGGGGGGCGAGGAAGAGAGAGAGAGTTCAGTCTGCAACTGTTTTTTCTTCGTAAGCGCACGCCAGTCGAGGTAACGACGCTTCACCTGCACATCAGAAAGGGAAGGCTGCTTTAAAAATCACAACTGGGTCCACAGAAGCAACGATACGATCTGAATGGAGACAAACACACCTCGGCAGCAGTGCGTAGCTCCCCCTCTCCCAGGGCATTCACACCTTGTGCCACTTCCTCCCATGCTTGCCTCTTCAGCTCATTAATGGCTGTGTTCTATTAAAGAAGAAAGACCAGCAGTTAAACTGTTTCATTCAAAGAGGCAAATAATATGACACTAGTTTACTGAATGGAAAAGAAAGTGACTGCACAAATTAAATTCTCCTGTGCCATTGAAACTAATTACCCTCTCTTCATTGGGAAGAAGAAAGCGAACACTGGGGCAGAGTGTACACGTGACATAGTCAGCATGAAGTTATTAAAACATTTTTTCAACTCTGCCCTCTTAACCTCTTCTACTGATTTCATTAGGAAGATTAAAATATGACTGTTATGTATAAGCAGAAATGTGTCCAGGGTGCAACACACAGGACATCCTGCAGCTGAAAAACAGACATGTCAGTGCTCTCTAGTGGCAGCAACGGTAATGTAACCAGTTCAAACCTTGGAGTCATCGTTTTGTTCATTATTTACAGCCTCTAGATGTTTTAATTTAGACCAATATAAATTGGAGCTGACTAAACACAGGCGGGCGAGATGGCAGAATTATCTGAATGGTTTGTGCTGCTGTTTTTGTCATTTTCCGCACCTTGGTTCAGACTTCCGAGGAAAGAGAGCTGTGTATGCATTTTTCTGTGGATAAAATCAAGAAGAAAAGAAAAGAAAAGAAAAGAAAAGAAAAGAAAAGAAAAGAAAAGAAAAGAAAAGAAAAGAAAAGAAAAGAAAAGAATCTCCACCTGTTGTCTGGAGAACAATACGTCTCTCCTCTTGTGGATCTCCCTGATGAGAGTTTGTGTTTCCCTCACGCTGTAGTTGCTCTTCCTCTTCCTCTTCAGGTGCTTCATTTGCAAGAAATCCACTGTGGCAGCAAGGAGTGGGACAGAAGCCCCCAGAAATGTAGAGAGCAAGAAAAACAAGTCAAGAGAGACAACTGGAAAAACAGGAGTGAAGTTATGAGAAAGAGAGGCACAGGTATGGAAGAAGGTATCAGAGGGAAAGGACTGAAACAGAGGTGTAAAGAGACAGGTCGCAGTTCAGTGTAAAAGGGAAACTCAGTCCTCAAATAGAGAGAAGTGTGGAAGTTTGCTGTAGCTTAGCTGTCCTTCAGCAGCGCAACAGTTTACACCGGGGAGGAATTCCTCCGTGGCTCCGTTTGTAGCAGCTTCTTTAAAGTTTTCCACCTGGGAGTATCTAAGTAAGGACATTTAAGGCTTGGGGGTTAAAGAAATGCTAGCTGGAAAGAAATGCGTTGATCTGGTAGACTGGAGGTATAAGTCATCAAATCCTTCCCTGCTTTGCTCAAGTTTGACTGGAGGGTTCACTTTTTCTTTTAATAAGACACAAGCTATTATTAATGTTATAAGAAGGCTTCAGGTTGCAGTCCAACTTCTCCTGGAATGGGCTGCTGCCAGGTAATCTCACGTGTAGAGAAGCATCACAGGGTGAAAGTGTTCTTTAGCCCTTCTTCTTGTTTAGCCCTGTGTAAAAGACGAAAAAGAAAGCAGATAACACGATTTAGTTTATACAGCCACCTACAGTTGCATTAGTGGAATCTGAGCAGAGAGTACAGCCATGTACACTTCACACACATCATCAGTAAACACTAGTCACCTGGTTGCACTGGCAGCCATACATGCCCATGTACACTTCGGATCTCTACCTTCTATTCGGGTATTTTCAGGTCAAGTCCAATCTGACCTTCCTCTTCTTCGGTGTAACCAGTGGTTTGGACCTTACTGTAGAGACCTCTGTATTTCCATTCATGAAGGTGTCTCTTTATTGTAACTGACAATGATACTTTTGCCTCCTCAGGAATGTTCTTGACTTGTTTGGATTTGTAAAGCAGTTTTTCTTAACTATAAAAGTAATTCTGTCATCATTCACTTCAGTGGTTTTCTATGGTTTTTCGGGCTTTTTGATGTTGCTGGGCTGTTCAGTGTATTTATTCTTTTCTCTTTTTTTTTTGATGTGCCACAGCAGACCCTTAAGTTATGACTCTCTCTCAGCTGGCCATAAAACTTATTGTCAGTCATGTTACAAATTACGTTTGAGCCACTAAAATTGAAAGACTGTGTATACCTATAGTTAATGCAGTACTTTTGTTAGATCCCTTGGATTAAGGATGAAAGTCTGTAATTCTATCACATTTAGATTATTTGATTTAAAATACACCATGATTGCATGGAGAGGCAAAATTACACCGATTGCGTCATCATACAAATACTTCTGAACTAATCTGTATATTAAGCGGAATGAGTTAGTTTGGGGGGCGTTTTTATAGATAAAAAAACACATGTTGAGTATTTTAATTTACTCTAAGGGTTTTTTTTAATCAGTTGCCCTAATTTTGGATTGGAGCTGGACAATCAGCTACAGGCCACCTTTCAATCTAAAGACAGGCAAATACTGAGATCGCTCGTAACTATGATGAATACTGATGGGTAGGAACACTGCTCATGCCTCACGTGTCTATGAAGCACATCAAACATCTCTATACTCTGCGAGTCGTCACTATCTGTCTATAATTAGCAGACAATACTGTGTTGTAACAAGAATTTTACTATGATAATGCGTTACCTTATCGCACAAGAACACAAGAAAGACCTAGTTGTATGTAAATAAATAAATAAATATATAAATGGATAAACCTCGAAGGTTAAACATTTTTCCCTCTTTAACCTTCCAAATCGTTGAAATTACGATTTTTTTTTTTCGATGACTACAAGGCATCAGTAACCAGAGAGGCTCAGCACATTTTTGTCAGAACAGTCATAAATTTCATGTTTTTTTCTGCATCTCGTCAGCTCCTCCAATAAAACACCACTGGTAATAATAGTAAAAACAACTCACCTTAATCACACAGAAAAACCGCAATCCAAACAGCACCGTTTAAAATGCAATTTTAATGCTGCGTTCATCGCCCCGTCTGAAACGGGAGAGACTAAGGTTTCAAAGCTGTAAAGACGATTAAGGTTCGAGAGATTTAGACTTGACATTTAGACCTAAATAAAACAAAAGCACTTGGTGTTATCTCATTCGGACATCGTCTCTACTTTTGTCATTGTATTGCACGGGGATGGGGGTAATTTATTGAAACTGAATCGTAGTGTTGTCGTATTTCCAATGTTATTGAAACATTTGAGGGTACCGCCAGTGACGCGCCATTTTAATTGCTCCTATTGGTTAATCCTCCACCGCGCCCACTTATGACGACATTGAATCAGGCCGGGCTCTTCCGGGCATGTGCACCGCTGTCAACTCCGAAATGTAAACAGGAAAGTCTGTTGGGCGAAAATCCGCACGTCTCTGAACATTACATTCGAAGACGCCGCGCTGACTTTAGCTCGTTAGCAGCTCGTAAGCAGCCCGAAGTTGCGGTGGAGGAGCCCGGATGTCAGAGGTGGAGCAGGGGGCGAGGAGATGGGTTCCGTCCGGTGGGCTTTCCGCTGCGGATCGTGGACGCCGGGCAGGTCAGACTGGCTGTTCGCTGCTCGCTGCATCCAGCGGGAGGAGAAAGATCGGATCGGGCAGTTTGTGTTCGCCAAGGATGCAAAGTCAGCTATGGTGAGTCCAAAACTAAACTTTACCGATTCTTGGTATCGGCCAAGAGCCAAGTAAACAAAGAGCCAGTGTTGCCGATACCTGTAGCGATACTTTAAATCTGTAAAGTTAACTTCTGTTGGGAAGGCCAGTGTGTCTTGATTATGACCACAAGATGGCTGTGATTTTTCTTTTTTCCGCATTACCTACTTAACACAATAAAACACATCTCACAGCTTTTCGTGTATTTTGAATAGACCTGGAATGCGCCTTGGGGCAACTGTTGTTGTGATTTGGCACTATTTAAATAAAATAAAATTGAATTGAACTTCGTGCAAAGCAGAGACTTACAGAATGACGCCCAGCAGGTTTACTCCTACAGGTTTCCGGTGGCATGAGGGCCTAACGGTCTTTAGCGGGACCTTCCTCACAGGTTCTTGCCAGAGAACACCAGAACTGGCAGGGCGCCCTGTTCTCTTCACAGATGGTGTTTCAGGCAGCGTATCGCTTGCCATGGCATCTCCAGATATTTTCACATCTTGTCACATGTGCTTAGTGCAAATCTGCTCTCATCTGTGAAGAGAGACAGTGTCATGGGAGCCTGTCTCAAGCTACCAGCAGTGATAAGGACACTGGTAAAAAAAAAAAAAAGGTAAACTGAAGTAAAAGTAGAGAGCAGCAGTCTGTGGCCCCAACCTGAAATGCCATTAATATGTTGCATATTGTATCTCCAGTACACCTGTTGTCACTTTAATTTGCACCAAAGCAATCAAAAGTAGTTTATGTTTATTACCTGGACAGAGTGATGTCCCCAAAGTTTATAAAACTTTGTATTCTGCTGTTATCATCAAGTGCTCCCTTAATTATTCTGAAAAGTTTATACAGCTGTCTTTGCGTTTCTGTTGCCTCAACAGGCTGGACGGTTGTTGCTAAGGAGGCTTGTGTGTGAGAAGATGGGGATCCCATGGTCAGAGATCAGACTGGAGCGATCTCCCAGAGGCAAACCTTACCTGGCAACACCTGGCAAGGTTCACTCCTTTTTTCCATAAAGTTCAAAGTCTGCATATACTGCAGCATTTTACTTCACTGCATTGTCATTTCACTAAACTACAAGTGTTCCAGCACAAGTAACTAAAAATCAGATATAAATCTGATATATCAGAAAAAGATCTATAACACAGTTCAGGGAGGGTTAGCGTGGCCCAAATACTGGATTTTTGTCAAGCTCAGTATAGACTTCATTTATTTTAATACATTCAAACATATAATCCTTCTCCTTACAGGTCAGTTCAGAGTCAGATCTGGCCTGGAGTTTCAATCTCTCCCACCAAGGGGACTACGCAGTGCTTGCTGCAGAGCAGGGGAGGCAGGTCGGGGTGGATATCATGAAGACCGCCATGCCAGGTAAACACTGTGGTTCCCTGGTTAGGATAAACCTGTGGCAATATATGAAATGACTACATTTTTGGACTCGTTTAGCTATGAAATTCCACCACAAGGGGTCACTGCTGCACCATATATATACAATATTGACTAGGCCAAGGCTGTCTGTGTGTGTAAATTTGGATTTCTGTGTGACCACAGAATTCAAATGTGCGAAACACTTCCATCAAACACAGGCTGTGTTTGAATATTACTGTTTTTCTTTTCCATTACCTCCCTCATTCTCCTCCCCTCATTTATAATTTTTCATCCATTCTCTCTTCCCCTCCTGTTTTGGTTTTGTATTTTTTTTGTCCCCGCACCTCTTTCATTCGCTCCAGGTTGCAGCTCTGTGCTGGAGTTTTTCCGCATTATGACTCGTCAGTTTACAGCGCACGAGTGGAGCGCCATCCAATCAGCCGGCTCGGAGCACCAGCAACTCGCCGCGTTCTACCGCCACTGGGTAACCATGGCAACCATACTACCTTGTGCCCTGTGTGTGTAACAGAAGAAAGCACAGGGAGAACGTAACATTGCCGCTGTCCTCTGAGGCGACACACACTTGTATTTTTTTACATACATGTGCAAATTTGTTTCTCAAACGCTGCCCCGCTGCATCGCTGCATGCTGTCATCAGAGACGTGCGCTTTCATTTCATTTTCTTTGGTTTTTGCCTCCTTTCGCTCTCATTTTCTTGCATGCACTCACACTCTCTCGCTCCCTCTCTCTCTAATACACACACACACACACACACAGATGGTCAGCAAAAGCAACAGTGGAGCTAAGTAAAGATTTTGTGCGATTGAGAGGGTGGCACAGAGACGTCAAGCACTGATATCACCACCACACTGTTGACTAATGGCAGAGCTCAACGGTTGCCATAGCGATTAGCCTTGTAATAGTGTTATTGTGGCTTATTGGTTGTCGAGCAGGGTCGGTTTTGGCTGGATACACACACACTGACACACAATGTCCTTCTTTGGTGTGCACTCTGATAAACATGTGTGCACAAACTCCCATCTGTTGCGGTTTTAAGTGGTGTTTCTTCTTAGCCAAAACACCCTCCACCACATACACACACACACCATCCCACACATGAAGACACACGCATACACACAGATCATCATTTTCTGCATGCAGCTGATCGGGTTTCTTCCCTTTCCATCAAGGCCCTGAAGGAGAGCTTCATCAAAGCCATCGGCACCGGTCTGGGCTTCAACCTGCAGAGGGTGGAGTTTCACCTGCCGTCTGAGCCGCTCACACAGGACCAGGTACTGCACCAGACCAAGATGCATCTAGATGAGGAAGAAGAAGAGGACTGGGTGTTCGAAGTGAGTCTGGTGTTGTGAAGAAAAATAAAAGTTCAGAGATGTTGTTAAAATCTAGAGGTTTGTGTATTAGAGGTCACAGCTCAACAATTCAGTCTATTTTTGTCTCTCATCAGCTTCCAAGTAGTCTGTGGTTTTATTCTCAGGTTTAAAATGTTGCTATGCCATTTGATAATTGCTCCATTTTTCTGGATTTTCCACTTGTGTCACGAATGCATCAGTGCTGTGCTAGTTCACACTTCACAAATGTTTGCTCAGTTCACACACACACAGATAAAAATAAGCTATTCTGTGTTTGTTTCTTACATTTTTTGGAAATGAGCTGCTCTGAGCTATTCTTTATCAGCAGACTCTCCTCCTCCCAGCCACGTAGCCCTCAGCAATCGCTGCTTCCCACACAGAGTGAAATACTGTATGCAGCTATAGAACTGATGACCGATTAGTTTCAAGTGCAAAGATGATAACATGAGTGTGTGTGTATTTTTTGTTTTTTTGTTTTTTTATATTAAGTAATGTGTCACAAATCAGGTTAGCTCAAAACAAGACGAGCTCCACGCGAGCTTCCATGCATTGCATATAATTTGGGATCGCATTAAACAAGCTGGAAGCAGCTTTTAGGAAAGTTTAACACATTGGACTTAGGTGCTATGCAGAGGGGACCTTGATGCACATTTCCACAGTGAATATGCCCTTGAGAGCATCTTCAGAGAGAATCATAGGTGGCCTTGTACGGAAATACAAGTGGTTGTGATGGGGGAGGGGGGGCTCTCGAGTGTTTCTTCATCCTGCCTAACATGATAACTGAAGATTAGAGGAGTGCACCTCACAGAGCAAAGAACTCCTCTTTCTGCCATTGCTCTGCTCCCCCTATTAACCTGTACATTTCTTTGCCGTAGAGCAGACACTAAGTTACAAATATTTAAAGCAAGAACATATTGGTACACAACACACCACAATGATCTTGGTCATCTCTTTCAAGCCCTTAAAAAACATGACATCTTTTAAAATTAGGAACATCCTGTCACAGAGCATTGCTGATGACCTGGTGCATGGGTTCTTACCAGGCTCACTCAAAACGTCTCTGATCCAGCATGTTCCATTAAAAGCACTAAGAGAAACTATAAAGAGATCATATTTTCCAGATTTAAGGAATTTAAAATCCTGCTCGCATACAAAACCCTTAACGACCAAACTCCGTCATATCTTAAAGATCTAATAGTACCCAGTAGAGCACTTTGCTCTCTACTTCTGGCTCTTCCAAAAATACCACGGGAGGCCTTTAGCTGTCAGGCTCCGTTCCTACACAACCAGGTCGTGATGCAGACTCTCTTCTTTAATGTTAACCTTAAATACTTTATTCTTTGATAAGCTTATCATTAGGCCTGGATCAGGTGACCCTATATCATCTGTAAACCAGCTACGCTGTGACGTAATGGTCACTTCACCTCTTCCTTTCTCTCTCAGTGCATTTACAGTTTATGTCGTCTCCCCTGCAGTAAAATGATTGGTTCCAAAGTCTATCCAGACTGCATATTTTTGGATTTGTGTGTCATTCTGCAGGAGAGTTTACTGGATGCTGATCATCATGTTGCTGTAGCACTCGGACCAGCAGACAACACATGCCCTGCAGTAAGGAGGCATAACTTTTCCATTAAAAAAATGTAAACTTGGAATGAATAGATTTAAAAAAAAAAAAAAAAAAAAAAGAAAGAAAACTTAGCTACAATAGTAAGAGTAGCTATCATACTGTAGGATAAACAATATTAACTTTCTTCCTGGTTCCTCACAGCCTCGTCCGCCTTCTCTTCTTCCGCCCACCACATTTACCGTGCTGTCGTTCAGAGAGCTCATCGACTCAGCCTCACCTCTAACAGACGAAGACCCCACCTACTGGGATAGCTTCAAGATGAAGGCTGAAGCTCCGCAGAGACAGAAGGATACACACACGTCCACATAGCCGCCCGTCTGAAGCCGACACTCAGCTGCCATACAAACGCACACCTTTCAGAAGTGCCAAAGAAGAAAAACACTGACACTGAAGTCGTTTTGGTATTCAACCCGAATCCAGTCACGTCCTGTCAAGTTTATTTGCCAAGCCAGAATTTACAGGCTTGTCTCAAAGGACCTAAGAACTTAGACAGTATCTGACACCATCTATCTTTAGATTCTCAGTTCTGATAAGTATAAAAAAAGACAGGGGATTCAACAAAAATCACCAAACCAATACACAGACACACAATATATCCAACATGTCATTTTGTTTTCTTTCTACACACTGAATCAGATTTAAGTCTCATGAAACTAGAAACTGATTGGCAACCACCAGGCAACATCTGGTCACATGACTGGTTGGTGAGAGGTTTCTGTCAGTTGTTGTGAAATTCTGAATAAATCCTAATTCTTACCTCAGCCTCCAGAAACACGCTGAGGAGGTTTGGAGTGGTTTTTAGCTAGGATATATTTTTCCATGTAATATCAAACATATGTAGGACTGCTTTAATATGTTTGCACGATATCTCTAGAATTAGAAACATCCTGTCTCAGAGTGATGCTGAAAAATTACTTCCTGCCTTTTTACTTCTAGGCTAGACTGTTGCCATTCATAATCCCTGAAAAGCCTTGAGTTGATCTAAAATGTTGCAGCACGAGTACTGACAGGGAACCAGAAAGAGAGCATATTTCTCCCATTTTAGCGTCACTTCACTGACTCCCTGTTAAATCCAGAAGCAAAATGTTTCCATCCAACTGTTGGCTAAAAAATAAGAATAAATATGTTTAACAAGGGAATTGGTGATGATCAAAATAAAATTAAAAAAAACCTTTTTTTGTCATTTTCGAACATTTAAAATGTGTAAAATGCAAATAAAATAAACTTTAATAATTTTGCAGATCAGCTGCTTTTCTTAATCTCTATTTTTTTGCCATATTCTCTGGAGTTAAGAGGAGAAAGCCAGCATCCAAGGTCATATGGAGGTGTGTTTGTGCACATGACATGCTCTTGCACATTTGTGAGGGCACCAGTAATGCTTTACAATATATAAAGTTGTTTTTAATAACATATCCACCACCCACCAATGTTCTTTGGACAAACTAGGTTTTCTTTCCTATTTCAGTAAGAAAACCTAAACCTCAGTATGCATGCTAAGCATTACTTATGACATACACTGACAGCTATAGTCCTCCTGCAGGGGTCTGGGTTCAGTTCTCTCCCAGATCATTTCCTGTCATTCACCCTCACCCTTTCTACACTTTGTTGTTATTCTCTACACATCAGAATAATAATTATAATAAAAAAATGTCCATCCCAATTGTTCTGAAAAATAACTTTTCTCAATGTCAACAATTAAAACTTTGCATATTAACGAGTTTCAGCATTGCTACCCAATGCTACAAGTACAATTTTATGTATGTGAGTATCACAGTTGAGCACGCTCAAGCCTCATTTTGTTTACTGCTGTCTTTCTTTCCTCCCTTGTGTATCTAAATGTAAATGTCTCTCAACCTTGCTTCTCTTAACTTCACTCTTATCTTGCATGAATGTTTTCGTCCTTTCTTCCTCCACATTGTCACTGCCATCATATCTCATCTTTCTCTTTTTCCCTCTCTTCTCAACTCTGCCTGGCAGCATCTGTTTTTGTTGAACATATTCAGCTGACCGTCTCCTTCCTTCAATCTTATTCTCCTGCTCTCGAGGCTAACTCATAGATTGCTCGTGTCAGTCTGCCGCATTAACCTTTTCTTTTCCTGCATGGCATATTATTTCTTACCTGTGATCGTAAGTCTTTTCGCCTGCACACGTTGGCTATCATCAGTGCCAAGAGGTCTGTTAGCAATCTCAATGAACATCCTACACTTAGCTTTTGCTTTAACCTTTGAATTGAACAGATACACAAACACATCAAGTAAAACCAGCCACAAAGAGTTCTTTCAGTGTCACATCTGCCTTCAAATTGTAATCAAAGGCAAACATTGGTTGTCTGAGACCCACACAATGGCACGGACTGGTTGTTTAACCCAACCTGCAGAATCTGCTGCTCATCTTCATCGCTCTCTTTTTTCTAGCTATCCTTAGCCTTCCGAGAGAACAGACAAGACTTGTGGGTATTGATTAAATGGCAACCTACTCTCCAGGTGGCTTTATGGAGTCCTTTTGTTTACACTTGTATATGTGACAGATAACATAGTGTTGAAATGTCAGAGAAAAAGTGCACTGATTCAAGTGTATGTTGCTGAGCCTGTACAGAGTTGTATCTGTATACAACTTGAAATGACATATGCATGCCGTCGTTGTCTGCAGCTGGAGTGAATTCATTTGCCTCCTCATCGTCTTAAATCTTACGTTAGCTGCAGCGGTGAAGAGGAGAGAGGAGGCAGCGGGGTCAGACTGGAGGCTCACAGGCTTTCCTCAGAGAGAGACCATTTTTAGTTGCTTCAGGTTTACTGATGTGTCAGAGACAAGACCACGGGAATAGATTTTCTCTCTTTTTTTTGTCTTATATGTGGGCTGGAGACAAGACTGCTTTGGGCATGAGACTGAGTTTAGCTTGAAGTGAGAGATGAAATCCACCTGCCTGCTGTTGAGGATAAGAGTCATGTTTCTTCTGATGGAGGAAGAGCAGGAGAACAGTTTCTGCTGCATTTAAACGTTCACTGGTATGTTTTTAAAATTAGACTCGATTTCAAAATAACATTTTTAACCATTGCCTTGCAAACAACGTGTAAAACAAAACATAAAACCCTGTTGTAACTTATGAACCTAACAAGTCCACTGAAGACTTTGCGCTTGATTGATTAGGAAGCCAATCCCACATAGGAAGGAAAGCTCACGTAATTGGGTGCACTTGTTTGCTGAGCTGGTAAGTAATGCGTTTTCAGCTGCGCCTGACATTTCATTAATTTTATATCATCCTTTAATGTTCCCATTACTTTGTTTAATGATTCAATATGATGACATTCTCATCTACTCGAGGTGATTTATGCCAGCTGCCGATGTGACATATGCTTTGCTTTGCATTTACTTCAAAAACGCATCAAGAATTCTGGAAACTACACTTATTTATTTCCCAGCAGAGTGTAGTTGGAAGCATATTAGCTTAGCTTAAACAGAGGCGAGCAGCTAGCCTTTCTCTGTCCAACGTTTTTATAAGTTTATAAAATCTCTGTATCAGCACTTCTGTGTTTTTATGAACAGAAGCTTTTTAGGCACACCTGTTCAACTACTTGTTAAAGCAAATATCTAATCAGCCAATCACAAAGCAGCAACTCAGTGCATCTGGGCACATAGACATAACCAAGGCAATGTGCTGAAGTTCAATCGCAGCATCAGAATAAGGAAGAAAGTTGGTTTAATGGACTCTGAATGTTGTTGGTGCCAGGCGGGCTGCTCAGAGCGTTTCAGAAACTGCTGATCTTCTGGGATTTTCCAGCACAACCATCTCTGGGGTTTACACAGAATGGTCTGAAAAAGAGAGAAATATCCAGTGAGCAGCAGTTCTTCTGATGGAAATGCCTTATTGATACCAGAAGGAGAATGGCCAGACTGCTTCGAGCTGGTAAAAGGCGACAGTAATTCAAATACAACCAAATTCTGCTGTGACATACAGATATCAGGGTCAAATTTTGACATAAACAGCATGAAAGCATGGAGTTTTGCCATTCTGCCTCGTATTAATGGTCAGGCTGGTGCTGGTGGTGTAATTATGCAGGCGATATTTTCTAGGCACACTTTGGGCCTCTTAGATTTAACCATGCCTTTATTATAATGACTTTCACATGCAGATGATACATTACAGGGGTGAACAAACTAGAAAATGGTATAAAGATCTTTTCAAAAGATCATCTGGATGATCCACCAACCTGTGAAATAAAACTTGACTATTTTTGACTGCAAACCAGTTTGTTTGGAAGGGGGGGAAAGGCATTGCACAACAACACAAAAACCTTCAGCCTGACTGTGAACGATGGTGGAGTGCATCATTCTGGAGCTGCTTTGGTACCTCGAGGTTTGGACTTGCAATCATCATCAGGGAACAATGAACTGAAAATTGCATGAAGAAATTTTACAGGGGAATTTCAGGGCAGCAGTCCATGGCTTGAAGTTTAGAAGGGGTGGACTCATGAGCCAAGACAATAAGCCTAAGGATACATGTGTATCCACAACAGAATGACTGAAAGCAAAGAATTTGATATTTTCATATTCATGCTTTTTTGACTTGCCAAGCCACTACTTCAGTGAGAACAGATTGTGAGCTGAAGCCTAAAGTGATTTACTGTAGTGTCATAGACTGACTTTGTTATGTCTGTCTGGTCGGCTGGAAAATATATTCAGAGTGGATTTTTTCTTCTCTTCTCCTGCATTTTCTTTCTTGTGGATACTTAAAACTTTGCTACTTCTGAGGGAGCGTGGTGGTACTTTGATGTAGGAGCTTGGAGTCGGCGAAGATATGGCGTACACGGCCCCAAGTCTTTTTTTTTCTCAATCCAAGCTTTGAGCTTCATGTTTGCTCAGATATGAAGCAGTGTTTCAGCAACGGATAAGAGGACTGACTTCTATGTGCCACTGGAATTCGTTATAATCCTCTATCGCTCAGGCTGGTTCCACTTCAGAGTCATACATTATTCAGTGGCAATGTTTCATTCTGAGTCCACAATCAACCAAAGTTTGGTTTGCAGGAGAAATCATAAACAGTGCAAAAAAAAAGGCCACTGCATGCCTTTATTTTCTTTTTGTTTGTTTTTTGCTAGATTTGAAACAGTACTGCATTAATATCGCCTAAGATGCATGTATACTGTATGTACAATATGACATTAGAGGCATTGGTGTGTGTTTTCCATTTTCTATCTAATCCTCCTGATGCACCTGACTGAGATTAGTCAGTGAGTTAATGTGATAGCTTTTGTACAGCATGGAATTACACTGACACTCAGTAACCCTCAGTATTAGTGCAAATGCCATGTAATTAGTGCACGTGCTCTTAAATGGGATGACTACAAACCTAAATCCACACTGTTGCCTATTGTGTCTAATTTCATATGTTTTCATATATTTATTTTCATTTAATACAATGTAAAGGGCCTCATTCTCAGAGTTTTGTCAATTTTGCAAATCCTGCAAAAGGTGACATATCTAGTCTGGCCTTACCTAAACAGCACATCCTTCTAGAGTTTTATTTACTGGATGTATTTGAAAAGGTGCTTGATTTTATACACTTGTGGCAATGGGACTGAAAACACCTTAATTTAAAGGTTAAGAGTTGAGGTGAGCTCAGCAGATATGAAGAGATATGAACTTTCCATTCACAACTAGTCATTTATTGTTAACATAAATACTCCAATACAGCAAAGGGAAATAATTTGAATTTCAGGACCCTTGACATTTCGAAAATACGGCTAACAGAGGACAAAACAGGAAGTTTAATACCACGCTCAATAAGTTAAATAACATGTGTGCTTCTTACAGGGAGATTCTACTGCAAAGCTAACATGAACCAGCACACCTATCCTAAACTTTCAAGGCTCAAAACGATTAAGGTGATCACTACACATTAGCTAGTCAGACTAGGAACAGACGACAAAAACAAGCACATACACACAGAGCATCTTCTGTAGTATGACATTTGCTCACCCATTTCTTATGTGTGCAGGAAAAAGTGCCCTACAGACACACATCCACAGTCACTGTCCTATTTTCCATAAGTAACTGGGGCACCTACATCTGAGTGTGTGAGGGCCAAATAAGGAAGTTAAGTGGGAGAGGGCAGAAATAGTAGAGTTAAGGACTTTACAAATCGAATGTTGCACACTATGTTGCTAGCTAAAGGTCCAGCTGCTATATTTCACAGGGAGAGAAAAGAGTGCGAGCTAACTTCACTCAGAGATGGAGAAAGATGGAGAAAGACAGGACAGGTTAGATAAAAAGGTAAAGACTGCTCAGTGACACTCGATAAACTATATAACACTTACATGTGATGTCATAATGTTACTCACTTATTTGATTTGTATATGATGGGTTTTGATAAATTATGTATTTTCGTTTTGTGAAATGTCCTGCAAAACAAAATAAGCTATGCTAACTTTGTTTTTCAAATGTTGCATGAAAATACTGGGTAGGTTTGTCCAGGATGAATTCACAGTAAAGCTCTGTGTTGGACCGGTGCACAGAGGCTGTGGTGTTCATGGTTAGATTTAGGTTACACTAAGTGTCAGTGTAGGGGATGGACATCAGCCAGGATAGCTGTGAAACTGCTGAATTCTCTTTGACTGCAGAGGTCCTATATCACAGATTCAAACTACATACATAAATTACAATTAGAATTTAATTTTTAATAATTTTTGTATTCTCATGTATTCTCAGAGCCTGTAATTTTTCACCTTTACTTGAGCAAAAAAGTTGCTTCGGTACTTCAACATTTACTAGAGCGTTTTTTAACCCAGGTATCTGTACATCTACTTTTCCAATTTTTCAAATGCAAATAAACAGACTGCATTTGGCAAACAGGAGGCTCCTAGCTCAAAATGAGCACCAGTACTGAATATATACTGCATACTGAATATGCAATGATATGGAAATAGTAAAATAATACTATTTTACCTCAGACACACAGCTGGATGCTGCTCCGGGTCAATCAACTCTCTGAAATTGTTTCTCTGCCTCCTGAGAAGCGTTCCCAACTCTGCCAACAAGAGCTCGAACTGCCCGCTGAAACCCTGAAGTATTTATGAAAGCGGTCGTGATACAGCTTCAACTCCTGGATCAACTCTTGGGGTAGTCTGCATGAAATATAGACATAGCTTTTGAGTCTGCAAGGTTCTTCAAAGCTGCATTCTTTTTAGTGGCCACCAGGCAGTGATACCCGTGGTAGCAAAAAGAGCTCAGGTCCCACAGAAATCTGTGGGCTATTATATATTAAGATTTTAAAAACACATGACCGCTAATGTTGTATGCCATTTTGCATATGTAATAATCATGGTGACAGAGTAGGATCAAGTGGTCCCAGTCACATAGGCCTACTTTTTACACCATTCTGAAGTATTTTTCCTCAACATGAATGAGGATTTCAATTTAAGTGTGCAGGAAAAAGTATGTAAGAACATACTTGTTTGAGTAGTAACTTTAATACATTTAATGTAACAGTGAATTTGGTTTAGAAACATATTACATAACTATTAAGTCTCAAATGATAAATTTGTGGTTTAACATGTAAATGTCTATGTGTGTGTGTGTGTTAATGAGCTATGATCATGGTCAACTTTTGCGAGTCCTCGGGGAATAGCCTTGGATGCACAAAATCAATTCCCCTTCAGGCACTGACACACATCCGCACGTCAGAGCAACGTCACAGCTGCCACAGTGGATTTAGACCTCAGATTTGATCCGGTGCCCTGCACCTGCCCCCCACAGAATATGTTGTTTCTTCCACAAATTCACTGTAACACTTTGTGTTATAAGGCATTGCACTGTGATTGAAACTGTAGTGAGAGATCAGTCAATATCGACCCTCAAAAAGGATTTCCTCATAACCTTACAGACTTTTTGGTTCATTTGCTTTTACACAAAATACTTAAATCACAAAAACATAACTTTAATTATTGTTAAAATATGGAATAAATGTCAAAAACCAAAGTCACACTAATTTCACAATAATTTTTGTCAGAGCATGTGCAGTGCTTAAGAAAGTTTGAAAATTCAATAACAACAGTACAATATTTTAGCATTGAAAAATTGATTAAAGAGTTGACATGGAAAACATCATTTTCAGGCTCATGTGACCTATTAGATTTATTATGTGAAACGTGGGGCAGCATAAGGCTTTAAATATACAGCCGGTAAAATAAGTATTAAACATGTCAACAAGTAAATATCTTCTAAAGGTACTATTGACATGAAATTCTCACCAGATGTCGATAACAACCCTTCCAGTCCAATCATGCACAGTAATCAAACCATAGATGTCCATAAATTATGTGTAATTATGAGAAAGGACACAAGGAAACAGTATTGAACACGTGAAGAAAGGGAGGTGCAAAAAGGTATAGAAAGTTACGACACCAAATGAAATCTATCAGTATTTAGAAAGCAATCCTAACACTAAGAGTTACGAAGCACCTGTGGAGAGCTTCAGAAGACCTCCAACTGGCAGGTACCATTGTTTCAAAGTCACTAAGTGATGCACTAAATCACGTTGCCTGGTCAGATAACCAAACCAAAACTGAACTCCTTGGATGCCATAATAGACACCATGTTCTGAGGTCAAAAGGCACTGAATATCACCCCAAAAACACCATAACAACATCATGATGTGGAGCTTTTTTGGTGAAGAATGAATGGAAAAATCCGCCATCATCTGCCAGGATGATAAAGATGAAATGATGGTGGATGT